TGTGCAGTTCAGGCTGGCCTTGAGCTCACTATGTAGCCCAGGCTGGTCTCAAACAGAGATCCTCCTGCCTCAGCCTCCCGAGTGCTGGGATTATAGGGGTGTGCCACCACCCCTGGCCTGAGGTATTCTTTTAAAACAAAGATGCGGCCCTTGTGCGTGCAGCATGTGGTATGCACACAGTTCAGGCGACATTTTGGGGAAGAAATGAACCTCCCAGTCTGTTATGGGAGTATGAATTGGTACAACTATTTGGGGGAACAATTGTCAATATCAATTTTCTCCCACAATTTTTTTTTTATGATGCTGGGAAGTAAGCCCAGGACATCACACATGCTTCACAATTTTTATTGAAAATTTTCATTTGCACACAAAAAACTGAGAAGTTGTACAGTGGACAGTTAGGTTTTACAGTTGTGAGCTTTTAAAAATATTTGCTTTATCACACCTATCTGTCCATCCATCAAGCCATCTTACATTTTGATATACTTCAAAGTAAACTGATACATTGCTGACATGGACCAAATATCCACAATAAATATGAGCATTTATATCATAAACATGAACTAAAAATAATAACAATAAGAATGAAAATAGGAAAGGAAAATTTAAAGATGGAGGAAGGGAAGTTAATGGGAAAGGGATTTTAAAAGTATCAAGCTGTGTTATGTACATACACCTATTCCCTAAGGTGAATGAAATGTCATGTACCACAAACAGACACTAATACGTGTGTGTGTGTGTGTGTGAAAGAGAAGAGGCTGAGTTAACACAGGGGGACTTCTTAGTTTGTTGACAACAGGTATAGTGGTACATGTCTGTAATCCCAGCACTTAGGAGGCTGAGACAGGAGGATTGTCATGAGTTTGAGCCCACTGTGGGTTACATAGTGAGTTCAAGCCCAGCCTGAACTGCAAAATGACAGCCTGTGTCAAAAACCACAAAAACAAACAGACATAATAAATTGCAGACATCAGTATGCTTTATCCTTAAACATTTCAGCATATATAAGTGGAGTTCAAAGTGTGTTTGTAGTTCTTTTTTGTTTTGGGTAAAATTTGTATACAATGAAATACATATGTTCTTTTTTTTTTTTTTTTTTTTTTTTTTTTCTGAGACAGGGCCTCGCTATGCAGTTCAGGCTGACCTTGAGCTCGCTTTGTAGTCTAGGCTGGCCTCGAACTCTCAGTGATCTTCTTGCCTCAGCCTCCCGAGTGCTGGGATTACAGGCATGAGCCACCGACACCTGGCTCAATGCATATGTTCTTTTTTTTTTTTTTGGTATGGGGAATCAAACTCGGGACCTTGCACTTGCCAGGCAGGCGCTTGTACCGCTGAGCTATATCCCTGGCCCTATGCATATGTTCTCAATGAACAAATGCATGAACATTTGTAACCCAAACTCCTGTCAATATAGGATATTTTCATCACTCCGGATATGTGATTCCTGCCTGTGCTTTCCCAGCTGACCTTCATCCCCCTCCATGCAGCCAATTTTTCTCACTACAGATGTACAGTAGATACTTTTCTTCTACAGTACTGGGGATTAGACCCAGGGCCTTTGCACTGAGCTACATCCCCAGAGCTTTTTATTTTTACTTTGAGGCAGAATCTCACGAAGTCATTAGGTTGCCCAGGCTGGCCCAGGAGATAATTTTTAAGGTAAAGCTTCTTCACTGGGCTTGACTTTTGAGAGTCATCTCCAGTTCTGTGTGCATCCGGCCGTTCCTTTTCACCCCTGAGTAGTGTATTCTGCTGGATGAACGTCCATTGTCCCGCGGATGGGTATTTATGTTGTTTCCAGTTTGGGGCAATTGCCAATAAAACTGCCACAAACCATCCTAGGGCAGGTATTTTGGAGAACATCAGTTTCTGTTGGCCACTTGGAGGTGTACGTGTGGCTGTCTTCCAGAAACACACGGTCCATGCTCCCTTTGCGGTGGGTCGCAGCGATAAGTGCACGTGGGCGGCAGGTGCAGAGAGCCAGCCGAGGACGAGTGAGCAGGCGGGGAGAGCACCCTGTCAGCCTCCCAGAGGAGGGGCTCTGCCGCCAGGGAAGCTTGGCTGAGGAGGCGATCCGAGGCTCTGAATCAGACACACCTGCACCCGGTCCTCTTCCTCTGGGGAAGAAACATCCCTCGGGAGCTCAGTTTTCTCATCTGTGAAACAGGGCATAATGACCCACAAGATGTGATAGAATAACGGGCCTTACGTCCCAGCCACCGCTTCAACAGTGTGTCTCTGCTCATCCAATGTTTCTCCTTCGCCCATAGACCTGGCGCCCCTGGGGGCCTTCAACGTGGACGTGGCCCGGCCCTGGGTCACACGGGAGGGAGGCGAGCCTTTCGTGCTCAGCTCTCTTCTGCACCAAGACCCCAGAACCAACCAGACCTGGTGAGTGGGGCCCGGCAGGGGGGCGGGTAAAGATTGCGATGTACCCCGGAGAAGGCCTTGGCACCCCACCAGCACAGTGTGGGCACAAACGCCTGTCGCTCCTAGAAGGATTGCAGCGTGAAGAGAGAAGGCGCCTGAGAGGCTGTGGGCCCCAGGGTGGGCTGTGGAGTCCTCCGAGTCCTTGGCCCTGTCCTCCCTCGGGCCTCCCCTGCACCACTGCCCGGGGAGGGGAGCTTTAAAAATGATTTTAAAAGAAAGTTCATAAAGGCTCTTTTGTTCCTTATAAAATATGTGCTCAATATAGAAAATTTGGAAAGTCACCAAAAAAAAATCAAAGAAAAATTGAAAATATGAGGCCTAAGAGCTGGTGGTGCTGAGAGGCAGCTGCATTTCTGGGAGTCGTGAGCCATGGTAACCTTACCCTGTATTTGCTGAGCAACCGCAGCAGGAGCCCTGCCCTGAGCCTCAGTTGCTCCTCTTACTCAGGAGGTGGTGACTTACTTACCCCACAGGGTTGTTGCAAAAACTGAGATAATACACCTGAAGAGCTTTGTGCAGGCTCTGGCCAAATGAAGGCTAATAATAGACATTAACTAATGTTTTTAAAAAATATCATTTCGGGCTGGAGGGGGTGTAACTCAGTGGCACAGCACTTGCCTAGCATGCAGGAGGCCCTGCGTTCCACCCCCAGCACTGCAAAAATGTAAGTGAATAAATAAAAAGTAACAATATCATCTGTGTCCACCCATTAGATAAGCAAAAAATGTAAATCTGACAATACCAAACTGGTAAGGGATGTGGTGAAACAGGACTCTGTGTGTGTGTGTGTGTGTGTGTGTGTGTGTGTGTGTGTATGTGTGTGATGACCTGGTGTTGCTACCGTGGAGAGCAGTGTTGCCATATCTGGTAAAACTGAGGATGCACATGACCTTTGACTCATCAAGTCCATCCCAGACATCAGCCCTAGGAAAACCCCAGAACATGTAAAAAAAAAAGTTTTTTAATGTGGCATTTGGAACTGAACCCAGAGCCTCATTCTAAGCACATGCTGTACCACTGAGCACCAGCCCCACCCATACTCACTTTTTTCCGTGATGCTGGAGATTGAACCCAGGCCACTGGGGTGCTCGGAACACCCTCGACTGCTGAGCTCCACGCCCAGCCCTCACAGGTAAAATTGCTGATTGTAGCATTGCTCATTAAAGTGAAAGATCAGAAATGGTCATCGGGGAAAATAAGATGGGAACCATGCGATGCAATACCAAAAGCGGGTTGAATGACTGAGCCTTGTGTAATGGTCATTAATCCAAATCAACCTCAAAACGCTGTGAGAGGGAAAAGGCAAGTTGTGGAATTACATGTGCAGAGGTCCCTGAGTTAATAAATATTTATGGAGCACCTACTAAGTGCCAGGCTCTGAGGAAGAAGCATCAGACAAGGCAAACAAAACCCCCTAGAGTCAGAGAGCTTAGGTGTTGCCTGGGGACATAGACAATGACAGGATGAGTCAAAAATGTCTTCTACCAGAAGGTGATGATGGTGGTACTCTTCATTAGGGGCACAGCTGCATTTAAGAGAGGGTCAGGAGTGAAGGTGGTGATATCTGAGACAATTTCAGTTTCTCCTGTTGTCATCAATGTGATTTTTATTTTTAGTTTTTATTTATTTTTTGAGGCAGGGTCTCACTATGCAGCTCAGGCTGGCTTTGAACTCACTAGGTAGCTCCGGCGGGCCTCAACTCTTGATGATCCTCCTGCCTCAGCCTCCCAAGTACTAGGATTATAAGCATGGGCCATCACACCCAACCTATCAAAGTGACTTTTAGAGCTGTGTGTTTGAAAGCCAGAAACTGGGCATGGCTCCTGTATTTCACATTGTTGTTATGTCTTTTTAGTTCAGTAGAAAGCAGCCACTCTTCCTCTGTATCCCCTCCCTCTTTTTCATGCTAGGTCATTTTCTCTGTTTGCCTTGCCACTGAGCCATGCTCAGGCCCTGCCCCAGGCTGTTTTGTCTCCCCATCCCACTCTTGCTGCTCAGTTCCCGGTCAGTGGTCAAGGGTTTACCTTCTACTCAGCAGAAGTAGGTGAGCCCAGGGCCCAGACAGGCTTTGCAACAGAGCCAGGTGAGCCGCCCAGGGTGCTGAGCCCAGCAGCTCTGCTTGGCGGAGGGTGGGTGAGCAGTGGGTGGGCCCTGAGCGTGGGCCACGATCCTGCCACCCAAGCAGTCTTGGATCCCTTTCTGGACCCTGGCTTCCTCATCTTACAGTGAGAAGTCTGGAACCATTAGATTTAAATTAGTTGCTTAGATTATCAGTAGTAAATTTCTGTTGCTTACAACCAAGAGCTCTAACTGAAATACCAGTATTGAGGTTAAAAATAACAGGTGTCTCCTAATTATGTGAATGCTTTATAAATCATAAAATCTCTACTGCTAGAGATGAGCTCTTTCCACGCTGGATTATGTGTCAGCTCTTGGCCCAGACTGCATTCCTAGAATAACAAAAGTTGTGTCAGGGGCTGGGCTGGAGGCCTTGGATTTAATCAGGAGGTTTAAGTGGTAAAGGCAGATCCAGTTCCCTGACTTATTCATTCACTCATGCAGCAAGTAGTTAGGAAGCATCTCAGCACCAAGCAGAGGCTAGAAGACAGGGCAGTGAAGGAGACAAGGACACTGCCATCAAAGAGCTCCTGGACTCACGAGGGAAACAGACCAATCAGATGATGATAAGAGTCACGACAGGCTGGTGGGGCCCAGAAACAGAGACAGGCGTGTCCCTCAGCTTCGCTACCACGAAGACGTGGGGGATGAGGAAGGCGTAGCGTGAGAAGGGCGGAAGGGAAGTCCAAGCCGGGACAGCTGCTTGGGCTAAGCCTGGAGATGGCCAGAAGGAACTGAGAAACTCTGAGTGAGGCGGAGATGAGTGTGGAGAAATAGGAGAGGCCTCGTTCCCCGTGGGGGTTTGAGGCTGAGGATGTTGTCGGGATTTGGGCTACAGGAAGACGAATTAAAAGTCACTGTTTCCCAGTCTGGGCCACAGAGTGATTTAATGAGAACTGTTTCAAAATAAAAGATGAAGAAAGGGCTGGGGATCTAGCCCCGTTCAAAGGCCCTGGGTTCAGTCCCTAATATAGGGATTTGAGGGAGAGTGTTGTTGTTTACTGTGCTTTGTTTTGTTAAAATCATATTGACATGTGATCCTCACAAAAGGCATGTGTTGGAAGCATGCAGCTCAATGAATGTCATAAGGTGGGCCACCTGCGTCGGCAGCATTCAGATTGGGAGGACAGCGGCAGCTGCCCGGAAGGCCCTGGAAGCCCCAACCTCTGCTCCAGACACATTTCCGCCCGCAGTGACCTTCAGGCATTTGTCTCTGTCAATTAGTTCTGCCTGGTTTTGAACCTGATATAAATGAGAATACAGTAGGTGCTCTGCCCAGATCCTCCCGCTCAGCCGGAGGCCTGTGAATTTAATTTATGGCGTTTCCTAACGCTCATGCTTGTTGGTGGAGTTTTTCGGGGAGTGAACAGTACTGACGGCGGGCGTGTGTGTGGTTTCCCTGGGCACTTGCCTGTGGCGGCGGCTGTGGAACTGCTGAGTCACGGGGTATACCTTGGTTTACCCTTCAGTGTTTCCAGCTGTCTGCTGTGCATGCAGGGGAAATAGTCTGAGTGATCTGTCACCATCGCCTGCCCCGTCCCCTACCACCATTACTCCAGCGGGGCCCCTGCAGCTCCAGGCCCCACGCACTTCACTGCCTCGTCCCTCACAGGCCAAGGGCCAAGGTAAACGAGAGGTGTTTGTGTTTGAAGCCTCTGCTACAGAGAGGGCTGGGAGCCCACCAAGAGATGGGGTGGGGAGCCCAGCCACCTCCCTGAGCACCTGTGATGCAGAGGGGCTCACAGACTTGCACATGCCCAGGAGGAGGATGTGGTTGGCGGGGGCCCTTCTGGGTTCCTGCTGCAGGTAATGGAGTCAGAGACCATGAACCCGCAGCAGGGCAGGAAATGCACCAGCTGGCTTGCCCAGGCCACAGGGAGAGGAGCGGCTGGGCTCCCATGTGTGCAGGGGTGACGTGCCCCCCTCACCCTCATGTGGTTTCTCCCTGGCATGTCATAGGTCAGAGCTGCCAGCATCCTGGGCTGTGGCTGCTGCCGGGTGGTGGAGCAGGACATAAAGCAGGCCTCACCTAGGAGATCTGGGACTGGACTCTGAGAGAAGGGGTGGGTTATAACTGGGAGAAGGCAGGAGATGGACAAGGGGTGCCAGGGCTGTACCCAGCCCAGCATGGTACACAGTCCCCAAGGCTGTCAGTGGATGGCTGGTCCTTTATCACAGCTGGGCAGCCAGTGTTAAGTTGTTTTTCAGTTACTCACTCAACAAAACTGGAGAACCCTGGCCTTGGAGGGTAAAACGTGGGGAGCAGAGACAGGGAACGAGGTGCAGGGCCAGGGGGATTCTGGGAAGAGAAGCAGGGTTGCTGAGCAGTGACCTGACTTGGGGGTTTAGCTACACCTCACCTTCCACCCACCTGCCCACCCCGGATCAGCCCCTCAGTGGTTACCCTGGCTGTCATTCAAGCCATGCAACAAATATTTACTGAGCCTTTGCTCTGTACCCAGTATAGTATAGACTGGGCCAGGCCCTGGGAATTCTGTGGTGAACAGTTGAAGGAAACCCTTGGGGCGTGCACTGGTTAGCGGGGAAGATTGGCAATGAGCAGGTAAACAGACAAACAGCATACTATCGGAGCCAGGCATGGTGGCACACGCCTGTAATCCCAGCACTCGGGAGGCTGAGGCAGGAGGATCATTGCGAGTTTGAGACCAGCCTGGGCTACAAAAGTGAGCTCAAAGCCAGTCTGAACTGCATAGTGAGTCCCTGTCTCAAAAAGACAGAAAAAAAAACCCCAAAACTATGGGGTGGTGAGAAGTTCTGAGAAGGAAATAAAACTGGTGATGAGGCCACATAACTGGGTTGTGAGGCCAGGTTGGTTAGAGACAGCATTCAGTGAGGCGGTGACAGTTAAGCAAGGGGCAGAGGAGGTCTGAGAGACAGGGAGGGTCCGGACTGAGCACAGTGCAGGGTTTAAACTTGTTTTCTAAGTGCACGGGAGGCTGTTGAAGCAAGGGTGTGAGACGGTATATAATATAATAGTAAACTTCAAAAAAAAAAAAAGCAACAACGGAGGAAGCAATTACTCTAGACCAGGCAAGATGGCGGCGGCCAGCCAAACACCAACCAGGATGGAGCGCTGCCTCAGATCCTGAGCGCCTCCCTGCAGAAATTGGATCAGTTCCTGTGGAACCAAAGTAGAATTTTATACAAACATAATGGATGGCGAGGAGAAATATCTACAGTGGTTGGTGATGTATGTCAAATTCATATTTTCCACTGGTCATGAATTTATTGTAAAAAGAGAACACGCACATCAAGAGCAACAAAAGCCATGTTGAGGAGGCCCAGTTTAGTTTGCTGAAAACAAAACCAATGAGGTCAGTTTTAGAGAGATCCTGTCACATGCTTTCAAAAGTCTGCATGTGTTTTACCTATAAGGTTTGGTATACGAACAGCTCCACTGAGATCCTCAAATTTCCCACAGCACCTGAAAGAGCGCTGGAACTGCTGATGGCTGTGAACTTCCTAGATTATTAAATAAAATAAACATTAGTAGACTTAATTTTTCAGTATTTGATACTTGTAGTTCAGTCAGTAATTTTTTCATATATAGCATGTTGCTGGCATGCAATTGAACTATAAAGTTAATTGCAAAGCAGATTGTCTTTTGGTTTTTGCATAACAATCAGAGTTGAAATTTGTTTGCCACATCAGCAAATTAAGGACATTTTCACAAACAGAAATAAATAGATGTGCCAATTTGTAGGTGGTTTTGCCTTATCTTTTGGATGTAACTTTGAAAATTAGAACAATGACGATATAGCAAATGCTGAAATGTAGGCATAGACAAACATTCTGCAGGTAAATAATGGGGCTAAGCATCTTTATGTTTTTACTGTTTTTTTTTTGTTTGTTGGTTGGTTTTTTTCCTCCGGTACCGGGAACCGAACTCACGACCTTGCGCTTGCCAGGCAGGCGCTTTTGCCTCAGAGCTAAATCCCCAGCCCCTTTTACTGTTTTTTTTAAAAAAAATTCTGATCTTAGTGCTGCTGATAGCATTACTAGAGTCATGCAAATAATTGCATGATACACGTTTATGATTTAGTTAAAGCATTTTTTATAACTCAAAGAATAAGAGTTTTTCATTTGTTTATTTATGTTTTTGAGACAGGGTCTCGCTATGCAGTTCAGGCTGGTCTTGAGCTCGCTTTGTAGCCCAGGTTAGTCTCGAACTTGCAATGATCCTCCTGCCTCAGCCTCCCGAGTGCTGGGATTGCAGGCATGCGCCATCACACCTGGCCAAGAGTTTTTCTTAACTGTGTGTGTTTTTTTAAAGTAAACTGCAGAATAGCTTAAGTGTATTGTGATTTTTTTTTTTGTACCGGGAATCGAACTCAGGACCTTGCACTTGCCAAGCAGGTGCTTCTGCCACTGAGCTATATCCCTTGCCCCTATGTTTTGTTTATTGCTACAATTTAAGAACTTAATTTCAAAGCAATTTTGGAAGTTGAAATTTGTCATTAGAACAATTACTAGGTTACTAGGTATAACTTCTGGGGCTGTAACTGTTTAAACGGTAGTCACACGGTCAGCAAGCAAACCATGCAACTTAAGAGTTCTGTGTATGGTGCATTTTTGGCAATCCAAAGTGCTGCATTTTCGTTTTACTGTAAAGCTCCTTAACAATTTTCATTCTTCCCTCACAGTCCCTTTTGAATACACTTCTACTTATTTAAATGTGTGTTAAACACTCACTATGAGCTTTAGCTAAAGCTTAAAAACAAGCAGTTCTAGTCTTCCTCCACTCAACTGAAATGTTACAAGAAAGAAAAATGTGGAGAGATGCAATGAAAATTTTAGAATGTACTTTAGATATAGTATGTGCATTATCCTCTTATAATTAAAATAAGTTCCAATAAATACAGTACCATAATCAGTGGGTATTCTGAAATCAAACTCATATAAGGAAGTTACCCAGGTTTTCTATTAAAAAGATAAACAATATTTAAGGGGCTGGGGATTTAGCTCAGTGGGAGAATGCTTGTTTTGCAAGCTGGAAGCACTGGGTTAGGCCCTCAGCACCTCCCAAAACCCAAAACAACAACAAAAGCTAGCTTAATATAGACCAGCTTTTTCTGGAAATAAAAATAAACAAAAGTAGTTATTTCCTCTTAGAAAACCTAATACTTTCCAGCTAATTGAAAGGAGTTAAGCGTAAGTTGTGTATTTTTAGTAAATTCTTAAGACATACTTATACGTACTTTAGTATAGAAGATTATCAAGAGAGGCGTGGTGGCACATGCGTATAATCCCAGCACTTGGGAGACTGAGGCAAGAGGATTGTTGCAAGTTCAAGACCAGCCTGGGTGACAAAGTGAGCTCAAGGCTGGCCTGAACTGTATAGTGAGACCCTGTCCCAAAAAGACCAAAAAAAAAAAAAAAAAAAAAAAAAAGATTATCAAGTATAATAATTATATTATGGGGCTGGGGATATTAGTTCTGTGGTAGGCACAAAAAAAAAAAAAAACCAACAAAACACAAAAAAATCAGTGTACTACCTGTTAGCAAAAATTTCGGTTATAAGCCTACAGGATGATTTCAAAGGGAGATAGCTAGAAGTAAAGTTTAACACTGACTAATTTTTGTAGGTTATTTTATGAGTTGGATCCAGAAGTAACCTTACGCTTAGGACATTAAAACTGAAACAAAAGACTAGGCAAACCTGTACACTTTGCAGCAACTGGCATGTTAATAGAGCCTATTAAAAAAAAGATGGCGGTGCGCAAGGCGATGGCAGGGAAGACAGAGTGAGCAGATCCTCTGTCGATGTAATGGGAGAGGGAACCAATAATGTTGACAGTGGCCTGGACATAAGGATGTATGAAAAGGCACACAAGTTCCGGTTGTTCCCAGCCTGAGTGGGGAGGACAGATCTTGTGCTCTGCTGGGGCATTCTGGGTCAGTTGGGTCATGGGTTATTGTATTAGTTTCCTGTTGCTGCTGCAACAGGTTACCACAAGTTTAATCACTTGCAACACCAAAAGGTATACTCTGGGGATCAGAAGTCTGAAATAGGCCTGATTGGGCTGTGACCAAGATGTCATTGGGGGTGTGTTTCTTCTGGGGGTCCTAGGGGAGAATCTTTTTTTTCCCCTTTTAACGTTTCTAGATTCTACCCACATTCTTGGTTCCTGGCCCCTTTGTTCAGTCCTAAGCCCGCAGCATCACATCTTCAATTCTTTCTCTGACTCTGATCCTCCTGCTTCTCTCCTTACAAGGACCTCTAACTGCATGGCGCCCACCCAATCATGTGCCCGTCTCAGTCAAGATCTGTGTGGCCATAGAAGGTGACATATTCACAGACTCTCGAAATTAGGACATGGACCTCTTGAGGGCCATTGTTCTGTTTAGTAGAGCCCCAGCTGGCTGGTCTCTGGCCTATGGGAGGGACACTAGGGCCACAGATGTAAAGGTGGGAACTTCAGCATTGACAGACATAGTGCAGCTGGGATTGGAAGGGATTACTAGGGAAAGGTGCTGGCTAGGAAGACGGGGACCAAGCCCAGAAGCCGGGCGACATTTACAGGCCAGACAGTGAAGGAGCTAGCAAATGAGTGGAAGGAGGAAAATTAAGAAAAAATTGTGTCCTGTGTGTCCTGTGTGTCCTGGAGGAGATGGCCACTCATGTCCAGGGCTGCTGAGAGGATGAAGGAGAGGGGTTTGGCAATAAGAAACATTAGTGACCACGACAAGGGCCGTGTCCACCTGGAGTGGGTGGGTGAGTGCACACATACAGGTTAGATGTGCTATTCTGTAAACCGTGCAAATGTTATATTTCTTAATTTTAAAAATGTAGAGTGGAAGGAGTTGAGGAAGCCGAGAACACACCTCATTTCTGTCCCTCAGGCTGTGCTCTCTAGTCTGTCCCCAACCCACCACAGCCACACTGTGACCTTTCAAAAGCAGAGGCCGATTATGCGCTTCCCCTTTACGAAGTCCTCCCCAGCTTCCTACTTCCCCTGGCACGAAGGCCTTGGATGTACGTGGTTCACTGTTACCAAGCCAAGCCTCAGGTCCCCTGCCCCCCAGCCCTGCTACACTGCGGTCCTGCCTGGGTGACAGCATGGTTACTGAGACTGCTGAGGGTGACACGAAAAGATTTGTCCTAACCTGGCCTTGGAGTGGGAGATAAGACGCTTGCACTCAGGAGCCACAGTCTCCATTTTTGATAGGAAAATACTGTCACTGAATTCTGGGCGACTGTCAGAAAGCCAGAACTGCCACCAAAGAACCAACTATGATGCTGGTGGCCTCCCGGTTCTCCACCCCCACCCTCACAAGAGAGCAGTCTTTGCTTACCAACAGAACTTACCTTGCCCCCCCTCTGTGAGGGTGGGCAATGGGCAATGAGGGCTTGTACAGGAAAGGCTGAGCAAATGCCTTCCCCATAATGCTAAGGCTGTGGTTCTGGGCTCAGAATTTGCTGCCTTTCCTGGGTCTGGGGTCTCTCCGTAGCACCAGAGCGGGAGGCTGTGGACCTGAGAAGGAACGACTGTTTCAGAGCAGGCAAAGAGGGAAAGGCAGCTCTCAGCCAGCTCTGTCTTGCTGTCTGTCCTACCACTCAGGCTCCTGCTCACCAGCCCTAGGAGCGACAGGACATCAGCACCCCTGCATCAATGTTCCCTGCTCCGGGATGAAATCGTTTGCCAACCTGTAGGTAAGTCAGCCCCAACTCTCAGGAGTGCTCCCCAGGACTCTCTTTTTGGGGATCACACTCACCCCAGCCCATTTACCCCTGGGTTCCAGATCCTGCCTCAACAGTGAGCCTTCCTCCCATACCAATGCCCAGGTCCCTCCCCCCTTGCTCCCCACCTTTCCTGATGCGATGCTACAACAGAACCCATGCCTAAAATGTATTGAGTGTTGCCGTGTGCCCGGCACTCTGCCAAGTGCTTCATTTTCTTTTACTCCTCAAAATCATGCCTTTTGGAGGAGAGGAGGTTATAGTTTAGAGAAGTTAAGTCCTTTGGTTGCCAGTATGACTAAGGTCGCGCCTCTAGAGTTGGTGGGACTGCAGATGCAAACCTCACTTGGGCTGATTCCAATCTCCAGTCCATCCCAACACAATTCCTTACAGCTCAGCGGAATTCAACTCCACCTGTCCCCATCTGACTGTGGCCTTCCCAGGATCTAGCATGGGACCTGGCATGTACTGGACATGTAATATGCACCACTCAAACGAGGCATGAACCTGATTCACTGGCCAACCAGATCTGCCCATCCCCCCCAGTCCAACTCATCAGCCACATCCTGACAAGCCCTGGCTGTCTGAGTAGAACCTTTGTTTCGGTGAGGGCCACTGGGCTATGCAGACTGTTTCTGCCCATATAAGCACACAGTCCAGTGGGAGGGCTGGAGGATTCTGTGACTCAAATATAAGACAGTGTCCTGAGGTCCAGTGGGAGGTAGTGTGGAGCTCTCACTTCTGTCCCAGAGGTTGTGGGGTAGCAAGACTCCTTAGAGACTGGTCTTCAAGCCCGAAGTGTTTATGGTCCATTTTTGCAGCCCTTCAGCATCTTGCATACTTCTCTGGTGCTATACACACCTACCAGTTGTGCTTTTCTACCCGCCTGCCCCTCCAGACCATGAGCCTCGTGAGGAAAAGCCCCAGGCTGTAGTCATTTCTAGGTCCCCACTCCCACTGTCACTAGGCTGGGAATAGAGCAGACATGAAGGGGCATTTGCTGAATGATTAACGAGGCAGGAGACAGGTGCTGTGTCCTGGCTATGTCCAGGCCTGCCTGAAGCCCCCAACTCCAGCTGCTGGAGGCTGCTCAGGGGCCCTGATCATGGCAGCCCTGTGTACTCAGACCCTGGCTCCAGGGCTGCCTCTCAGTGTTCCCCCTCCTTGCCTGTTGAACTGTTTCAGAGCATGTCCTCATCCCGAAGGGGAGGCACCAGGGAGTGACGGCGGTCCGGAACCACCATGGCGTCTTGGTGAGTATGCACGGGAGAGGGGACTTCAGCTTTGATCCCAGCACTCACTCCCCTCCTGGTGAAGGGGAAGCTAGCTGTCCCAGTGTCCCTTGCCTAGTGGAGCTGCTGAGTCTTGGGGTGGAGGTGACAGTGTGGCTGTAACTAGGGGACATGTGGCTGACCCAGCCTTTCTCCTCACCTTCTTCCCCTCTCCCCAGATATGTGTTCAGGTGCAGGCCCAGCGGCCCCACAGCCTCAGCTCAGAACTCACAGGTGCCTGTAGCCTCCTGGCCCCTGACTTGCGCCTCCGGGCCCAGGCCAGCTTCACTGACCTTGGTAAGGACTGAAAGCACTCTGGCCTTGGAAAGCTCTAAAGAGATCCCCTTGGGTCTCCAAGAAGAAGTACCAGCCTACAGCAGCGGTAGAGGGACACTGAGGCCCTGAATGAGCCAAGGCAGACCTGATGATGCCCCATGTGAAAGGAATCCTCGCAGAGCTAAATGTGAGCTTGTCGGGGGGACCATGGAGCCTTCTGACTTGAACTCTGCTCTGTGTGTTCCTTAAAGAAAATCTCCTGGATCCAGACACATATGTGGATGCTAACTGTAACAAGAACAGAGGAGGAAGCACAGGGGAGGAGGAGAACAGGGCCAGGAAGCCCAGGGCTCTGGAGAAGGTGGAGGAAGAGGAGGAAGAAGAGGAAGCTGGTGAGGAGGGAAAGAAGTGGGGTTCCCAGAGCTGACTCCCAGCTGGCAGCCTCCAGAGGTGTGGTGTGCCCAGGTCTGGAAGATGGGGGTGGGCAGTGGCTAGCCAATCCCTCTGCACCCCCATCTTATAGATGGGGAAACTGAGGCCCTGAGAGTGGGATTCATGGCAGTGATTCATAGCAAGTCAGAACCCAAGCAGGTTCTAGCTCTCTCTTTGCCTCTGAAACAAGAGCTTCACTCTTGGAACCTTCCATAGCTTCTCTGAAATGAGCCTTGGAGCTAGAGGCAGGTGTTTGCCCTGCTCCAAGGCAGGATGTCCTGCCCATGCTCCTGTCCAAGGCCCATGCCCACCTGACCTGCTCTGCTATCCTGGCCAGGCACCGAGATTGCCATCATCTTGGATGGCTCAGGAAGCATTGATCCTCAAGACTTCCAGAAAGCCAAAGACTTCATTTTCAACATGATGGAAATGTTCTATGAGAAATGTTTTGAGGTGAGTTTCCCTTAGAGGGGATCTCATATAGTCCATCACCTATTTCTGGGTAATAAACAACCTCAAAATAACCACCATTTTATTTGCTCATGGTTTGGTGGATCAGATATTAGGGCTGAGCTCAGCTGAGTGGCTCTTCTGTGGGTCTTGCCTGGAGTTACCCTGCAGCTGCAGATGTCTGGTTGCTTGACTGGGACTAGATGGTCACTCACTTGTGGGTGAGGCCAGCCTAACTATTTCATAGCAGCAGCATCCCAAGAGGGCAAGACTCAGTGCAAGAATTTGGCAGTGCCCCACTGGCCAAAGCAAATCACATGGCCAATCTCACAGTGGAATGGAGGGGTCTGCAGAGGGACTAGATTCAGGAAGAAGTCTAACTCATTGGGGACCATGACTCTTATACTTTCTACCACTCCTACTTGAATGGAGATTTTCCTTTGCCTTAGCTTCTCCTTCTGCCTGGGGACAAGGTGGACAAGCTGATTCTCCCAGTGCTAACAAGGGGAGCTAACTGGGGGCAAGGGAGGCCTTGCTAACCTCCTCCCCATGCCCTTCCCTTCCAGTGCAGCTTTGCCCTGGTGCAATATGGAACAGTGATCCAGACTGAGTTTGACCTTCGAGACAGCCAGGATGTGAACGCCTCACTTGCCAGAATACAGAACATAGTTCAAGTGGGGAATGTCACCAAGACTGCCTCAGCCATGCAGCATGTCCTGTGAGTGTGGGATGCTGACTGGCAGCTCTAGTAGGGCTCGGTGGCATCATGCCTGGAGGAAGTGGCTGCACAGATCTGAGAGAGGAGGGACTGTCCTCTAGAAACTCTCCCAGAGACTTCTTCCTCTGACATAGTACAGCAGAATGTCTAGCAGACATGATGTCTGGGTTCAAATCCTGCCCTGAGCTTGTATGTGTGTGACCTTGGACAAGTTACCTGGCCTCTCTGTGCTTCTGTTTCCCACTTTTAACATGAGGGTAATGTTAGTCCTTGCCTCATAGATATTGTTCAAATACATACAGTGTTTATGACAGTACTTGGCACACAATAAGTGCTCTGTAAATTCCCCCAATGTTAATGTCAGCACTATACCCCCCCCACATACACACATAGGAGGGATAGACTTAGACACCATCTAGCCCCATTCTGTCAGGATCAGGTGAGGAGCAGGAACACCTGTGTGGCAGATGTCTCACCCTGTGACAGGGATATTGTCATCCTTCTTTGTGTCTTTGTTCCCCATGGGGAGGGTACTTGCTAATCCTTTCCAAATCTAAAACAGGACAGTGAATAAAATCTCCCCCAGAGCATAGGCATCCCTCTGGCATCCCTCTGGCATCCTTCTGGCTTCCCTCTGGCAAAGGTCTCGCCATTCCCTCTTCCACACAGAGACAACATCTTCACGCCAAGCCGTGGCTCCCGAAAAAAGGCATCCAAGGTCATGGTGGTGCTCACGGATGGTGACATATTTGAGGACCCCCTCAACCTCACGACAGTCATCAACTCACCAAAGATGCAGGGTGTTGAGCGCTTTGCCATTGGGGTAAGAGCCAGGAGCAGGGAGACATCTCTTGGCACAGCCTGGTTGGAGAGGGCCTTGCAGAAGGGGCTGCTGGAAGTAATGCACCCAACCCCTCTCTAATCACAAACCCTCTTTCCTTTCTCCTGGCCCCGGTCCTGTGCCCCCTGCTGGGTCTTCCTAAGGAAGGCTCACCTCCTAGCTGTTCTCACAGCGTACTGACCTGTGTGATGGGGAAAGCCCACAGGAACGTTTCTGGAGGGGCTGGTCTGAGCTGAACCTGGCAGGTCACCAGGAGTGACTGGCTTTGGGTCCGGGAGAGGCAGGGAAGGGCTCTATGGGGACAGGGAGCAGCATGTGTGTTGGGAAAAAGCATGTTTAGCAAAACTGGACTGTTGTCCAGAGTGCAGTGGGGAAAACAAGGAAGAAAGGGAGACAGAAGGAGGCAGGATCTGGAACACCCATGCCTGGGGGCTTCCATGCAGGTGGGAAACGCGTTCAACAATACTAGGACTGAAAGGGAACTGAAGCAGATTGCCTCGACCCCCAGTGAGACCCATGCCTTCAAGGTGGCTGACTATGAAGCGCTAAAGGAGCTTCTGAGTAAGCTGCAGCAGAACATCATCCACACGGAAGGTGAGGTCCAGGCCTGGGCCCCATGACAATCTCTCAGCATCCAGCAGCAGGCTCCAGCCTGATGCTCCAGCGCCTCTGCCCCACCCACCTCCTAGGGCAGCTCTGAGCTCCGCCAAGCCTTTGCCGGTCATCTCTGTAAAGGCAATAGGGTCCCCAGCTCCCCTCTCCTCCCATAGTGTCCATGAAGCTCTGATGAACTGAGCTGGTGCTGGAGAAACAAGGACAGCTGGAGCATAATTTCTCCTCCTAGGACTCACAGATAAGGAAACTGAGGCCCCAAAAGAGGGAGTGAATTTCCCAAGTCTACTCAGCCAATAGTTGCTAAAACAGAACTCAAGTCTCCACTCTCAGCCCGGTGCTCTTCCTGTTCCACTAAACACCCATCCTCTGATGTGGCAGTGTCTCACTGGTCTTCTTGGTTGCAGGCACTGTGGGAGAGGCCCTTCGCTACCAGCTGGCACAGACTGGCTTCAGCGCCCAGATCCTGGATGAGGTTTGTGGCTCACACAGCCCAGGCAGGGATTCAGGGACTCACAGAGTGGGGCCCTGTAGTGATGCTGCTGAAAGAGCCATTTTAGGATAAAGGGAAACACATCTGCTTGCTCTCTCTAACCTGAACCACTGAGACAGACGAAGGAACGGTCACTTTTATTACAGGAGGTCATTTTGTTGTATGTGCTTAAGGATTGGATCGTTTCCCTTATCCATTCAAATAAACCAAGATTTGGCCTCGGTTGGCTTGCCAACTGAGTCTATAACTTCTCCCAGAAATAGAAATGTGGACTTGACCATGGTGGAAGCACAGTTAGCAACCAGGAAGCCTCTGATGGAGAAGCACTTGAACGCCCTAGCTCAATCAGACTACTTTTTTCAGTATTGGGGATTGAACCCAAGCCCTTCACACTAACCTACACTGCCCGTCCTTTTCTTTTTTTTCAGACATGGTCTTGCTAAATTACCCAGTCTTTTTTTTTCTGTCTTTTTGAGACAGGGTCTCCCTATGCAGTTCAGGCTGGCCTTGAGCTCACTTTGTAGCCCAGGCTGGTCTCAAACTTGCAACAATCCTCCTGCCTCAGCCTCCTGAGTGCTGGGATTACAGGCGTGTGCTACCACACCCAGCAAACTGTCCAGTCTTAAACTTGTAATCTTCCTACCTCAACCGGCCAGAGTGCTGGAATTATAGGAAAGTACCACCCTATCAGGATAATCATACCTTTAAAAAAAAAGCTCAATATCTGAGCCCCGAGTCAGCTTCTGGAGATGCAGCTGGAGTGATTGGTCACTGGCACAAGGCAGGGACCCAGTGCTTGCCCTCCCACCTTCCTACCTGCGCTTCTGGCGAGGCTACACTCTGCTGCCGAGCCTCCCCTGCTTCCAGCAAGGTGCACTGCGCTGGCACCTGGGTCCCTACCTCTCATTTGGCCCCATCCCTGTCCTCTGCAGGGTCAGGTGCTCCTTGGCGCTGTGGGGGCGTTTAACTGGTCTGGCGGCGCGCTGCTCTACAACACGCAGTGCCGCCGGGGCCACTTCCTAAACCAGACTGGAGCAGATACAGGAGCTGCACAGTACAGCTACCTGGGTGAGGACGGGGCCTTTGGGCTACCTGGGAGAAGCTGGGCCAGACTGGTATGCTGAGATTGGGTGTTAGTCTACACACTGAGATTCCTGGTAGAGGAAGGTCTTGGGTGGTCATATGGGTCACACAGGATGGGCCCCAGTTAGGGACCCCAGGGTTGAATATTCAGGGTGGGCACGGAGTGGGCGTGGGTAGCTACATAGGGGAGGATGGGGGGCCTCTCCATTAAGAACAGTGGGCACATGTGAGTGAGCAGGAAGTGTGTGTGAACAAGTGTGTTTTGAGCAAAGCAGTGTACATGGTGATGTGTGTGCGCAGCTCATAGTGTGATTGGTGACAGTGAGTCACCAGATTTTGGGGAAGACCTGCTGGGAGGTGGGCTTCCGCAGAGTAACTGGAGAGCACCTCTTCACAGTTGTGCCACCCCGCTCCAGGTTACTCAGTGGCGGTGCTGCACAAGGCCTGCGGTGTCTCCTACATCGCGGGGGCTCCGCGGTACAGGCAACGTGGTGCCGTGTTTGAGCTCCAGCCGGACAGCAGAGAGGCCACCTTCGTGCAGGTGCTGGAAGAAAAGCAGGTGCCTGCTGGGGGTCCCCCCCTTATCACAAACAAGGCTCTGGTGGCCGCAGGGAAAGGGATGGACTCGGGTGAAGATCAGGCTCCTGAGTGGAACTCAGTGGCACTGAGTGTCTGCCAGGTGGCCCCCCCATTGTGGGCACTGTGATGCTCACCGGATTCCCTGTGTCACCAATGAGCAAACTTCCCTTTTGGGGGACCCAGGAAGAGCCTAAGTAGGGGTCAGCCTTGCTGAGGGGTGGAGGAGTGTCTCCCTGGTACTGCCCAAGTGCTGAGCTCCTCCTGGGCCGTAGTTGGGGTCCTACTTTGGTTCTGAGCTGTGCCCTGTGGACATCGACATGGATGGGATCACAGACGTTTTGCTGGTGGCTGCTCCATTCTACCATGTCCATGGCGAAGAAGGCCGAGTCTACATGTACCGTCTGTATGAGCAGGTAGGAGAATCTCTGGTCCCAGGAGCTTGCTGAGGCTGTGGCTGCTAGCCTGGTGCAGAGGTAGTGGACGCTGGGTGAGCCCTGGCCCTGCCTGGCTGCAGTGGGCAGTGATGAGGAATGCTGAGAGAGGAGGGCGGCCCTCCCTCTCCACCCGAGGGCAATTGCCCACCATAGCATCCCTCATAGCTTTGTGGTTGCCAAAGGATGGGTGGTCTGTAATTTTACTTGCTTCTTATAGTAATTATAGGAGGTAGCTGTCACTCCCATTTTACAGATGAGGAAGCTGAGGCTCAATGAGTCTCCATGATGCTTAGGCTTGCAAGTCTGCCTAGCAAGTATGTAGGAAAGCCATGCCTGGAAGCCAGGCCTGGAACCCAATTGCTAATTCAGTACTTTGTGTGAGTGGAAGAGGCAGGCCCTGGGGTCCTGAACTTCAGGCAGAAAGATCTCAGCTTTGCTACCAGCCCACTGTGTGACCTTGGAAAGGTCCTGCGTCTTTTCTGAGCCATAGAGTCACACAGAATAGATTCCCAAGCTCGTGAGACTGTTCCTTGGGTGCCAGTGGTGTGGCACCCTGCACGCCTTTCTTGAGGGCTGAGCTGCTGGTTTGCTTTGCAGAATTGTTCCTTCTCCTCGCCACACGTGCTGAGTGGAAATCCCGGGTTCCCTAGTGCCCGCTTTGGCTTTGCCATGGCAGCTGTGGGGGATATCAATCAGGATAAGTTCACAGATGTGGTCATCGGGGCTCCCCTGGAGGGTCTGGAGGTGGATGACGGGGCCAGCTTCGGCAGTGTGTACATCTACAACGGACACCAGGACGGCCTGTCTGCCAGCCCCTCACAGGTGACTGTGGGCCTCTCTTCCCCTCACCTCTAGGCCTCGACCTCCCCCAGATAGGATAACTGAGCCCTATGTCCACCTGGGTCCTCAGTGCTGGGCTGGCCTCAGGCGGTTGGGAGTCCCAATGGAGGGCAGAAATCACCCCGCACAGCCTGTCAAGCCCCCACTTCTCCCCTTGCCCCCACTGCCTTAGCCCCTGGCAGTTTCCTCGGAGAAGCCTCCTCCTCTCTATCTCTCCATCAAGTCTCAGGCTCCACTCAAATGTCACTTGCTCTGGGAAACCTCCCATCCTTCCTGTTTGCAGGTTAAGGGCTCCCTGGGGCAGGAAGGTTGAATGATGCTCAGTTGAACAGAATGAGAAAGAGTTCCTCCTTTTCCCTTCCTTCTTCACCTCACACCGGTGTCTCTCCCTCTACAGTGGATCAGAGCCTCTGCCGTGGCCTCAGGACTCCACTACTTTGGCGTGTCTGTGGCTGGTGGCTTAGATTTCAGTGGTGATGGCCTTGCTGACATCACTGTGGCCACACTGGGCCAAGCAACTGTGCTCCGGTAGGGATCTGCCCCGCTATCTGGGATCCCCGGCCCCAGCTTTCCCCAGCTCATCCGCCTGCCCTGCTCTTGAGGGCTCCATGTGGACACTGGGCTCCAAGGGAGGGAGGAAGTGTGACTGCTGAGGACACAGGTTCTGGAGTCTGCTTGTCCGGGTTTGAGCTCAGCTCTAATTTGCCAGTGTGTCTTTGGGCAGATGATGTAATGCTAGGCCCCAACTTTCCCATACAGGAATGATAATCGTGCCCACGGATTTATGAGGAGTGTAGGAGAGAACATATGCAGAGAGAGTATTTAGCACAGTGCTGAGTGATGGCTAGTAGTAGTAGTAGTATCAGGGCCTCTGTGCTTCACCCCTAAAGCCAGTCAAGACCATGGCTATACATAACCCTCTGGAGCTCCTCCAGTAAGTGCTGGGCTTGCTGCCCACTCAGCACCTATTTTGTCTGCTGCTCATGGGCCCCTCAAAGTGGACAGGTCCAAAATAGAGCTCTGGTTCTCACTCACCCTTTCTTCCTCGCCAAACCTCCCCCCTTCAGGCTTCCAGTCTTGGCAAGTTGGGACCAACTCCCACTCGAACATTCAGGACAAAAACCTGAGTCAGCCTTGATTCAATCTTTTCTTTCCCCAACCAACCCAACAGCAAGTTCTTGTTGGCTCTGTCTCTGAAACACCCTCCCTGCTTCCTCTTTCTGAGCTCCATTCTCCACCCAGCAGCCAGTGGTCCCTTTGCTCTGCTGCCTGAAACCCTCCATGGCTCCCACCAAGAAAGAGTAAAATCCCAATTCTTCACCGTGCTCTCTGGGCCCTGGCCCCGGCTGCCTTCCAATCCCCTCATCCTGTTACTACGCTCTGTCTCCCTAATTATGCTCCTGCCACATTGATCTTTTTGTTTCACGGCAAATTAAGCTCATTCCTGCATGGGCCCTTTGCAGGGCTGTGCTTTCTGCCTAGAATGCTCTTCCCCTGATCTTCACATAATCTGCTCATTCCTGTTAATAGACTTCAGCTTCAGCACCTCCTCATCAGCAAGGCTGTCCCTGGCCATCCAACCTAAGTAGCCCCCAATTTCTACAACACTGTCCTGCTTTATTTTTATCATAGCAGTATTAGGACATAGTATTGCCTTATTCCTTCTTGTGTATTTGCTTGTAGTCTGCTTTTCCACTAAAGCAGGGACTTGTCTCTGTCCCCACCATCTCCTGAGGACATAGAGTACCCCCTGCAGGTTGGAGATGTTCCATAGACACTCACTGAATGTGTGAATGAAGCAGCCAAGCTCTGATCAGAAGTCATGATCTTACAGTCCTCTTTGCTGCTTTGTTTAGCTCAGGGCCTGTGGTTCGCCTGAAGGTGTCCATGACCTTCACCCCCAGTGCACTGCCCATTGGTTTCAAAGGCAGGGTGGATGGACATTTGTGTTTTGAAATGAGTTCCACAATGGCGGCAGCTGAATCAGGTAACAGGCAGCCAAGCGGCCTCTCTGGCGTTGTGGTCACTGCTTCCTGGCTTCTGTAGGGGGCGGGGAAAGAAGGCTGGGATGGGATCCCAGTGCCTGAGATTACTCTGCTTTTTTGATATTAAGTTCCATTAAATGTGAACTACACCAGGAAAGGGGGGTCTGATGTCACATTTCACTCGGTTGGGGAGTAGGGTTTGGAGTCCTTCCTTAGGGTTGTAGAAGAACTGGTCCTCTTTCTGAATTACATTTTTTCCCCTCCTTTTTTTTTCTTCCCTTCTTTGTATGTCTCTTGGCCCAGGTGGGACTGGATAAACTGCTGGAGGCCTGGCCTCCCCACCCCTTACCTGACCTTTCCTGGAGACTGTTTCCAGAAAGAGAGGGCGGGCTTGGCTCTCCCAGCCTCAGTATCTCCTGCCAACCCAGGAGTTCTCCTGCAGAACAATCTCTCTCATTGGGGTTACTGCCCCAGTGCTGAAGCACTCAGTAACAATCCCTAGGTGGGCTGGTGGGCTTGCTGCTTACTGCAGGCCAGAGAGCAGTCCCCAGGGCATCATTATCAAACCTGAGGGCAGAAAGTGACATATCAATTCCAGCTACAGAGAGCCTGTGGAGGGCTTTGTGACACTGGGCAGGTGTTTTTCCCTCTCTGGCCCCTGGTTTCTGTCCTGCGCAATAAAGGAGCTGACCTATGTGATCTCTGAGGTGTTTCTCTTCCTGTCTCCTGTTTCTCCCTCCGTCCCGACATCCTGTCCAATCCCTCCTTCCTGAAGGAAGGTAGACTCAGCCTGGGGAATGTGCTGGGCTCAGGGCCAGGTTGCTGACGTAACCTTGCCAGTGCAAGGACAGTGAGAAGAACATCTTTGAAATGAAGAACTCTCACGGAAGTGCCCCAGGGAAGTGTCCCAGTGGGGACATTATTCGGGAGGGGCTCCCCAGGAGCCTCAGCAGGCTGGGGCCTCTCTCTGGGCCTTGCCATCCCAGCCTCAGCAGGAAGGTCGGATTTTCACCCCCAGGTCTCAGAGAGACGTCACTCAACTTCACAGTGGGTGTGGATGTGGAGAAGTCGAGGAAAAGGCTGCAGTGTGTGAACGCCAGGGACTGTCTGAGCCATCATCAGAAGTGGAATAGGGGGCCCCGTCTTTGCAATAACCTCCAGCTTGTCTCCCCGGAGGGAGAGGTGGGTGCAGGAATTTATACAAGAGTCCAGAGGGGTCCGTAATGCTGAGAAATGATTAGCAGGCCTTACAATATAGGCTACATACCCATACACACACATGAGGCTATTAAAATAATTGTAACAAATCAAGAACCCTAATGGCATGGGAGATGCAGATAGTTACATCAAAAATACAGTGAAGGCTGGGCATAGTGGTACAGGTCTGTAATCCCAGCACTTGGGAGGCTTAGGCAGGAGGATCACTGAATGTTCAAGGCCAGCCTAGACTACATAGTAAGAGTTCAAGGCCATCCTGAACTGCATAGTGAGACCCTGTCTCAAAAAACAAAACAAACAACACAAATGAAAGACACCTGGGTTACCAAAATTGAACACTGTCTCTGAGCTTCCTAGAAGCTGGGCAGAATGGGGATTGCTTTAATCAGTGACATTTGTCTTGGTAATAAATCAGAAATATTTATTATGCTATCTTATCTCACTTCATACCAGTGGCTTGAAGGCCTTTCTGCAAGTCAACATTAAAAAAAGGACAATTAAAATGTAGAAATAGAGCCAGGCGTGGTAGCACATGCTTGTAATCCCAGCACTTGGGAGGCTGAGGCAAGAAGATCGTTGTGAGTTTGAGACCAGCCTGACCTACAAAGTGAGCTCAAGGCCAGCCTGAACTGCATAGTGAGACCCTATCTAAAAAAAATAAATAAATAAAAAAGGTAGAAATAGAAAGACAGAAGTTATCATTTAGGATGGTTTTCTCCTGGCAAGCCAGAGACATAGAAAAAAATGTTATTTGTTGGGATTCAAAGCCTAAAATGAACTGGAACTTTGGACAAATAAAAATCATTTATTCCCATAGAAAAGCTCATGAATTACACTCCTGACTCTATGTCTGCTTCCAAGGTGATTGTTAATTGGCTTAAGAGTTTCCAGCACATCTGTGGCTCTCCTTAAGTAAAAGCATAATTACATGTCCCACCAGGGAATCACGCTAACTTGGTATTGTGTGTTCAGAGCTGTTACCACGGCTGAAAGGGTCACTTAAACAAAGAACACAGCAAATGGGATTCTCAGCTGTCTCGTCAGATTTTACTTCTCTGCTATGTCCTCCATGCCACTTTGAGGAAGATCTTTGTAAACTCAGATGTGAGCATGACTCTTCCCTCCGGTCACTCCTACTGCCTTCCAAATAAAGCCTGAGCCAGTTCTTACCAGTGGTGGCCAGAATCCCTTCGTGACCGGGGTGAGAACCATAAGGGGTTGTAAGACGTGAGGCTATGGCAGACCAACGGCAATGTTTCCCAAGCTCTTGGCTGCTTTCTTGAAGAAAGGTGCCCTTCAGCTTGGCTCATTAGGAAAATGCTTAGGACTTCCAGTCACTACTTTGATTGTTTATTTCTTAATGACTGCATCAAAGTTAAAAGTACTCTCCTTGTCACCTTCTTCTCCGTACTCAATGCTGAACCCACCTCCCTGGGTGGCCCTGTAGCTCTGTGAGGAGGACTGCTTCTCCAACATCACTGTCAAGGTCAGTTACCAGCTCCAGGCTCCTGAGGGAAGGGAGCGGCACCCCTGCCCCATCCTGGACATCTACGAGGAGCCCTCTGCCGTCTTCCAGGTGACTTTGTCTCTAGCTAGGACCCATCCTCCTGGGGGCCAACCCACAAAAAGCACCTACTCCTCTGACTTCAAAGAAGGCTAGAGTAGGCAGGGAGGGTCTTCAGGCGGAGTCAGGCTTGTCATTGTACAAATGGGGGAGGGGATTCCCTGAGGTGGTGTTCATTCATTCAGGACCTCACTGGGAGGCAGCAGATCTCCAGCCATTCCCCGAAGCTTGTTCCATGATGGCTCACTATGCATTTAAGGAAGCATGTGAGTGAATACATTACATACCAGGGCCCTCACTTGGTAAGGGTACATGAGGACAGGATGGCGGGGTTCCCTTGCAGGGGCTGAACTGGAGTTATCATGGACTGAAGAGAGAGAGCCCTTTGCTGCACCTACCTACTCAGGCATTGGTCAGGGTCTGCAGGCTGCATGTCTGGGCCCCCTCAAACCTTCAACAAATTAGAAAATATTTATATCAGTATTAATCTCCTGATTTGGATCATTGTACAATGTTATGTAAGAAAATGTCCTGTTCTTAGGAAACATAGACTGAAATATTGAGGGTAAAGAGGCATAATAGCTATAGTTTATTCTCAAATGAAAATTGTCCGAACTCTTCGTGCATGCGTGTGTGCGTGCGTGTGTGCGTGCATGCGTACGTATGCGTGTGTGTGAGACAGAGTCTTGCTATGTTGGCCAGGCTAAGCTCAAGTGATCTTTCTGACTCAGCCTCTTGAGTACCTGGAAGTACAGGTGCACCAGTGATCTGGATAGTCTGGGAAAAGACTGGGAGAACTAATGTCATAGAGTTTTGGTGATAAGTAGATTACCACTCAATATGTATATTCTTTGTTTAAAAACTTGACTTTGAAATATTTAACTTGTTAAAAAGGCACAGTGACTATCCAGATCACTGGTGCACCTGTACTTCCAGTTACTCAAGAGGCTGAGTCAGGAAGATCACTTGAGCTTAGCCTGGCCAACACAGCAAGACTCTGTCTCACACACACACATACGTTCACACACACACATACGTACACACGCACACACACACACACGCGCATGCATGAAGAGTTCGGACAATTTTCATTTGAGAATAAACGATAGCTATTATGCCTCTTTACCCTCAATACTTCAGTGTATGTTTCCTAAGAACAGGACATTTTCTTACATAGCATTGTACAATGATCCAAATCGGGAGATTAATACTGATATAAATATTTTATAGTGAGATGTTTTGAGATCATGTACATATCCTGCTTAATAGTCATTTATGAGTCTGACCTTAATCAGTTATTACTATGGTAGTATGGGAAAGAGATGTAAACATTTTTATTCTGCCTATAAAAAGGATGTGAGAAGTTTTCCTATGTGGGCACAGAGATGTTATCAGAGAATGAGGTCTCCCTGGGAATTCAAATGGCTGGCTTCACCCTGTTCTCTTTCACTGGGATTGGATGAAAGAAAACAAACCACTTGGCTACATAAAAAAAATAAAAAACAAAAACCCTGCACAAAACTGTTGACCCAGTTAGACGGAGCTCCATGCTCTGACTTCTGCAAACTGTGACTTCCTTCTCCAGGGGGTAGAAAGTCTCCTTTCTTGTTCCAAGCCCGGGGTTCTTGTTCCAAGCCCAGGCTATGAGAATAGCCCTGTAGAGGCTGCCTTGGTGATCACTGGCTGCTGGGGGAGACACAGGCGGCAACTCTTAAACTAAGGAGATGGCTGCGTTTCCTTCATTAAAAAAAACAGACCCGCTTATTTTAGAAAATTTGATTTTGCAACTCAAACTGGGACTTTTAAAACTCAAAGAGGCCTATTGAACCAGGTGTGATGTTCTGAATTTGTTTATGTGTATTCAAGATTGCAAGGAAAACAGTAATTTACAGAGAACACCAGCCTGGGGGCAGAGGACGTCTGAGGACGGGACCTGTTGATATTTGGCCAGGCGGCCCTGGCTCCTGCCCCAGCTGTCCCCACCCGTACTTGAAAAGGCTAAGGTTTCCTTCACAAAGGCTTTTCCTCCACAAGTGTTTGGAATAGTGCGCTGCTGGTTAATTCCCATGATGTGAATGTGATGGGCACACCCACCATTCCATAAAGGGCACCCTATTTTTTACCTTTGTCAGAAAGCTGGCTCTACATGTGCCCGTGCTGTGCATTCCTAACCAGGAATACCACAGCCATGGGTCTTTTGGCTGTGTGTGCTCAGTCTCAGCCTGCCGGCCTTCACATCCATCTAAGAGCTTCTGGAGTAAGCAGGGAAGTGTCCTACACAGAAGGTCATGAGGCAAGGGTACAGGAAAGTCAGGACTCCTCGGCTGACCCCGCCCCTCCTTGTCTGGTTCCAGCTACCCTACGAGAAGGTCTGCAAGAATAAGCTGTTTTGCATCGCTGACTTACAGCTGGCCACCACCATATCTCAGTGAGTCGGGGGATGCCACCGTTTCTGCAGTTAATTTCCTCCTGAAGAATTTACCTGGGCAAACCTCCTGTCGGGATCCATCACTCATTTTCACCTTTCCCGTCATGGTCCTCGAAAGGCTTTATGCTTATCTCAGCCACCATATGAGGGAGGAAAGACAGATTTGTGTTTCCATTTTATAGATCAGGAAACAAACACAGCAGCTGAGGCCTTTGTATAGGGTCAGTTGGTGAATTTAAACCCAGATCTCAGTGTCCTGGATGATGTTATGTTCATAACCCGCTGATCCTCACTCCTGGGGCTACTTTCATTAGAGGCAACCTCTTTCCCGGTTTGCCTCTTAGAGGAATTCCTAATAGTTCATTACGCATCTCTGTGCTGAGCACTGGAGGTGCTGGGAAAACCTCGAGGAGAACATAAACAAAAATTCCTGCCCTTTTGGGGCTTTTAGTGGGAGAAGATAATAGCTAAGTAAACTCTATGTAGAGTGTGGGATGTGTGAGGCAGGGAAGATGCAGGTGTTGGGGGGGGTCGAATTTTTAAATAAGGTGGTCAGGGAGGCTGGCATTTGGCACAAATATGAGGGGGGAGGTAGCCAGCCTTATGGGTGTCTGAGGAAAGAGCAACTACAAAAGCCTGGGGTGGGAGCATGCCTGGCGGGCAGGAGGCAGGGCCCGGACCCAGTGTGGTTGCAGTTGGGTGACTAGAATGGGTAGTGGGACGAGACAGTACCATGGGGGGGTGGGTAAATGGGGCTTCATTGGCCCTCAGAAAGGCTTTCATTGTGAACAGGGAGTTAACATTAGCTCCTGCTGACGTGTGGAGAACAGATTATAGGAGCAGAGGCAGAAGCCAGGAGATAGGAATTACTATGAAATAATGCATGTGAGAGATGACGGTGACTTGGGACTGGGTGATAGCAAAGAAGGTGTTACATTGTGAAGTGAAAGCCCATGTGGATGGGGCAGAGGTGGGGAGTGAAGAGGGATCACAGTACCAGCAGCTAGCCAACAGGCCATCCTATTGGTTATTTAAATTTGAAGTCATGAAGCTTAACCACAACTAAAAATATTAGTTCCTCAGAGGCATCTGCCACATTCCAAATGCTCTTGTATGACCCTGGTATGACCAGTGGTACTGGACAGCACGGACCATTTCCATCGCTGTAAATTCTGGACCAGCGACGCGTATTCCCACAAGGCAAATTCCAGAATGATGGCGTTGCCAAGAACTGAACTGAGATCGGGAGTTTGGTTTTCACATTTGGTGGTCTTAAAATGCCCTTCCTGGCTACCAGTGCCACGTGTGTATCATGATACTGATGGCTGTTTGGCTGGAGTTGCCATCTATGGGGAAGAGTCTGTCCCCTGAGTCCTGGTCAGCCCTGCCAGATATTTGTAGGACTTGCATTTCAGATGTGGATGGCTTAGTGCTGCCTATCACTAAGGACCCAATTCAAGGCCTTTGAGGGCTTTGGAATCCAGCTTAACAAGCGGGCACAGCTGTTTCCACAGGGAATTAATTACAGCCAAGAACCAGCCTCCCAGCCAGTTCCTTGCAAAATAGATGCAGCACGCACAGCTTGCCCTGCAGTGCCCCCTACTGTACATAGCACGTGAGCGTTTCTATTTCAAAATCATCACTGAGCCCTATCCTGGGGTCCAACTGTCTGGATGATTTTTGACCTTTCGGCAGACAGGGATCACCTAAAAAATAAATGAAAACTACAGACCCCTCTCCCTAGACAATATGCACATACATAAATGTTGGCATTCTGGGGCCTCTGAAGCTGTCCCTGGGCCTCAGGTTAAGAAACTGTGGTAAATATTCTGATGATGGTCAGATCTCTCTCAGGCACTAAAGCAGTATATAGCAACAGACAGGGCACACCTCTGCCTTACTGTCCTAGAGGCACCTCTTCTCACGTCCCAGACTGAACTCATCTTCCTGCATCCTGGGGTCTTCCCCGTGTCATTGTTGCCTCAGTGAGTAACTCCTCTGAACAGGAAACTCAAAACTAACTCAGTCTCCTCCCCTCCCCTGTCCTCTTTTCCCTTCCCCTCCCCTCCTGTCTCTTGATTGCCTTACCACCTCTGACTCTCCTCACCCACCCGTCCTCCATCTCTACTAATGTATCTCTGGCATGTGTATCTGCCCCTTATCTTTTCCTCCAGTCTATCTCAGGTATGATAAAATGAAAACCAGAACAAAGCAATAATACCAAAACACAAGCCGCATCACTTCCTGCATCTGCACCTTTCTACTTTGTACATTTCAGATTGAAAGTTTTCTTTGTATTGTTAATATATTACCCCATAGATCTCAGAAGTACTTCTGCATAATATGTGGGCAATCTGCTGAGTGGACTTGAACTACAGGGTTTTAGTTAGAAATGATTAGGCCTGAATGATTTTTGCTAAAATCAACGATGAAGGGAAAGCTGAAACCATGAAAGAGGGCTTTGCTGGGTATGGTGTTGCACACCTGTAATCTCAGTATTGGGAAGGCTGAGGCAGGTGGATTGCCAAGAGCTGGAGGCTAGCTTGGGCTACATGTGAGTTCAAGGCCAGCCCAAATTACATATCGAGACCCTGCCTCAAAGGTAAGGGGGGTTTCTTGAGAAGTGGAACTGTGTATGGCTCGTGTATACAGCTCTCCAGTCTGTGTGGAGCACCTGACACATATACGATGTCCTATACATATCTGTGGAATGGATAAATGTGTGTCGTGAAGGACCTTGCCTAGGGCCACAGTGATTGGGTGGTAGAAGATTTGGATTCAACTCTCCCAGTTCTCTTTGGAGGATGCTAGATTTCAGGCAAATTGGCCTCTCTTGACTCCTTTTCCTCTTTTACAACATAGAAGGTAACTGTTCCATTCGATAGGGTTCCATGGGGATTAACTGAGGGTCTGAAGCACAGCCTTGGCACATGACCAGCACTAAGTAAATCATAGCCATAATGAGATGGGTGTGGCAGTCCAAGTATTTGCTGCTTTCAAGGGGAAGAAATCTAGGCTAAATGTATCCTGGCTGGGGATATAGCTCAGTGGCACAAGCACCTGCCTGGCAAGTGCAAGGTTCTGAGTTTGATTCCCAGCACACACCAAAAAAAACCCCAAAACAAACAAAGAAACCAAAATAAATATATCCTTTACACAATTTATCTATGTAGTTAGGCATGTGCTGTTGTAGTGTGTTCAAGTTCTTAGATTAAATAAATTGGTAACACTTTTATCTTTACTCTGTGCAGACAGGAATTGGTGGTGGGGCTCACCAAAGAACTGACCATGAACATTAGCCTAACTAACTCTGGGGAAGATTCCTATATGACAAGAATGACTTTGAATTACCCCAGAAATCTGCAGTTTAAGAGGCTACAAAAGGTAATTGTGGCAGCAGCTTTGGAAACATTCCGCTCAATATCTTTCCCTTGCTGCACACCTCCTTTCTGTGTGTATATGACAACCTCCTTACAGGTCTCCATACCTCCAGCCTCCTCCTGGTCTGTCCCGTAAATGATTAGTGATTAGATGAATCCTCTCTTGTTTTTTTGTTTTGTTTGACTGGGAAGCAGACTCAGGAGCTTGAGCTTACCAGGCAGGCGCTATGCCACTGAGCTATATCCCGGGCCCAGGTGAATCCTCTCCAATTCAACTATATGCTGTGGGCCCATTCTCTGCCTTACAGACTTTCAGTGGCACCATTTCATAAATTCTCCCCTGCATGCCGCCTTTTTTTAACCAGGATTCTGAGAGATAAATAAGCTCAAAAGTCCTAAGTCATTGAGAAAGTATAAATTAGCCAGATGTGGCACACACCTGTAATTCCAGCACTCTGGGAGCCTGAGGCAGGATGATCACAAGTCCCAGCCCAGCCTGGGCACTCTCACCTAAACTCCACCCATTCCTGGAATCCTTTAAAAACTCTAGCTTTTCCTTTGTTGGGTAAAACTCACTGCAGTATAGGTTTCCTCATTTGCAATGAGTCAGTAAACTTGACTGTTGCAACCACAGGTTTGTCCCCAGTGGTCTTACGCTACGTGAGCTACAATAGCATCCACTATATGAAAAAAATGAAGTGATCTCTTATGCATCTAGAATGGAATCAGTGTTGTACAATCCATGGGAGAACTGTTTCCTGTGTTCAGTGGCCCAGATGAGGAACTATGATCGAAAGGCTGGTGGCAGTGGTTGAACCCATGCTGGTCTTCGTACATGTGTGTGTGACATTTGCGTGGTTCCTAAGCCCAATTCAAATGTTTCCTCCCCATGAAGATTTTACAAGGTCCTTCTGGTTGTAATTCCTTCCTCTACTCCTCTCTTGAAAAAGCCCCCTGAGGCCTTGTATTTACATTCTTCAGCTTTATACAGCTGTGTCCTCCTGACCACCTTAAGACAGGGGCCAAGTCTCATTTATTGTGTTCCCAGCTCCTGGCAGGGTATCTGGCACGCAGAAAAAAAAATCAGTGAATGTTTGTTGAATCGGTGTGAGGAAACTGAAGTGCCTTATTCTGTGTTAACAGCCTCCCTCTCCAAACATTCAGTGTGCTGACCCTAAGCCAACTGCATCCATCCTGGTCATGAACTGCAAGATGGGTTACCCCATACTCAAGAGGTCATCTGTAAGTCTACCTTGACTGGTTGGGTCTTCTCGCTACCTTGGAACTGCTGTTATCTACAGTCCAGTCTCTTTCGAGTCACTTGTGGTCACTATGTTTCTCTTTACTGAAGCCAACCCATGGCAGTGCTTAGAACTGCTAAGTTTGCTCTGAAAGGAAGGATTGGTAGGGAGGTAGTTTGAGTATATAGCCATAGACAAAATGTTGGCTCACCACAGGAAGCAGAATGAAGTTGGGGAGGGGCATCAGACCGAGTTCTTTATGCTGCAAGAAACCTCCACGGTATTTTCCTAAACTATAGAAGGGGAACTAGAAGGGTGAATAATGCTGTCTGCCCTGCTCACTTCATATTTGTATTGTGAACTGCACATGAAATAAAATAGTGTGGAAATGTGTTGTGCTACAAAAATGTGAGGAATGTAAATTATGTTTCTTACATATGTATAATACTAAGCAGCTGTAATTGTGAGTGGCAAAGACAGGAATCAAGTAACCATCTTTCCTCCTTTAAAACAGGTAAACATGTCAGTAGTTTGGCAGCTGGAGGAGAGTGTCTTTCCAAATAGAACAGCAGACATCACTGTGACCATCAGCAAGTAAGTAGCTGCAGCACACTCAGGCTATGGCCTTGGAAATCTCCCCTGACCCACCAGCACCATCCAGATGCTGTGGGAGCTACGGCTCCCTCCATGCCCAGGGAGAAGGGGGACCTCAGTGAGCCCACAGAAGTCTCCTGTGTCCCCACAGTGATACCTTGTTATCAAAGATATTTAAAGCATTCTTTTTTTCACACAAAGTAAAACTATGGTACAGTGGTATGGAATGAACTTTGAACTAGATTTCTGGTTCTAGCTTACTTAAATTTGGAATAACTGCAAAACTTCTATGTTTACAGGTTTTGATAGACTCAAACAGGGGTAATTCTGTTCCCAGAGGCAATGCCTGGAGACATTTTTTTGTTGAGACAGGGTTTTACTATGTAGATCAGGCTGGCCTTGATCTCCTGCATCAACCTCCCAAGTGCCGGGATTATAGGCAGCACCACTACATCTGGTTCCTGAAGATTTTTTATTGTCATATCTGGCATCTAGTGGACAGAGATGAGGGACCTGCTAGACAATATACAGGACAATTTAACACCAAAAAAATTATCTGTTCCCAAATGTCAGTAGTGTTGAGTCTGAGAAATCTTTTTGAAGTCAATTTCTCTAAGTGTGGACTTCTAGTGATTATTTTGAACTGTAATTGTGTATCTCTGAGTCTTTTTTTTTCTAATCTAACATCCCCTCTACATCATGATCCTGGGAAGCCAGGATACAGAAGTAACTATTACATATACAGTTATGAACAAGCATTTTATTCCCAGTTCCAATGAGAGATCTTTGGCCAGAGAGATCCATAATCTTCAATTCCGGCATGCCTTCACTGCAGTTCTTTCCAAGTAAGTACCCCCAGGGGCCGCACCTGTGTGACTGCCATGCACAGAAGACAACTTCAGGGAATCCCTCTTGTGGATGGAAGCAGCAGTCAGAATAGATGTGGGCATATCCTTCTTTGAGAAGAGGCTGCTTAGAACCCAGGCTCCAACACTGATCACTGGGGCACAAGGATTGGGTTCTAGAAACCCCCTAGTGGTCATCACAGAAGCAGTGCCAACTAGTCTTGCTGTAAAAGGGAACTAATGTGATGCTATAGAGGTGGAGAAGGCCTGTGGAGCTGGGAAGTAAGGAGGAAGAAAAGTAATGCTACTGTGGAGTGCTAATTAGAAAATGAACCAGCCCAACTATATGCAATGCAAATACCCCACCTTATCCTAACTGTCCTAGAACCACTCTCCATTTAGACATTCAGCTTTGATCCCTATTAAGAATCTGGTGCCCTTGTCTGTGTACCCAAGTGGAATTATTAAAGTTCATTCAAAACAAGAGGACCTTGAGGCTAACTCATGTCCTCTCCATTGCAGACCATCAGTGATGTACATGAACACAAGCCAGCAGCTTTCTGACCATAAAGAATTCCTTTTCAATGTAAGTGCTTAGTCTATGAAAAACTACATTTGGCAAAGAAGCATAAGCTTTGATTTCCTGTTCTGATTTTCATTTGGCAGATACATGGAGAAAATCTCTTTGGAGCCCGATTCCAGTTGCAAATTTGTATACCAATCAAATCACAAGGTCTCCAGGTTGTAAGAGTGAAGAACTTGAAAAAGATTCAGGTACTTAAAAGACAATTATTTATCACGATCACATCTCTTTTCATACTGACTATGGATTCTCAAAGGTATAAAAACTACAGCTTTTGGTGGATAGACATGGTGGTGCATGCCTATAATACCAGCACTCTGGAAGGCTGAGGTAGAAATGAGAGTTCAAGCCCAGCCTGGGCAATTTAGCAACTCAGTGAAAGCTTGTCTCAAACCAAAAATTAAAACAAGGCTCTGGGCTTGATTCCCAGTACTGTAAAAACAAGAAGAGATTTAAAAGTAGTGTAAAAAAACAAGGTTAACCATGAGAAAACATTAGATGTTACCAGGCATGTCCAGAAGGAGTATCAACCACTCAGATCATTTTTTTGATGAAAAATAAGCAAAATTTCAAATGTTATTAGTAACCATAGAGACACTTATTTACCCTTTGAAAACTGCTCTGCTTCGATGTGCATGATAAGTGAGCCCGATAAGCGTGACATTTCTCATACCCTTATAGTCTACTTTTGCTTCCTCCCCCTTTAGTTTCTTTCTTGGTCTCTGCTTTGCTATAATCTGTTTTCAGTTGACTCTTCATTCTCTTCCTCTGGTTTCCAAAGCCAGCCTTGATACCTCAAGCAATAGGATGTGTATAACAACTAATGCTGGGTCTGGACCCTGCTGACAATTAGAGGATTTACAAGTTGTAAGTACTTGTTCTCATATGTAATTTATTCACGTATTTTTTCTTTGATTCCTCTAATAGCTAAACTGGGGGGTACCAGAAGGATATAGACAAGTCTTGACAATATAATGCATATAACAATTTGGTGTTGTGCATGGCACATCAGTGAAAGTACAAAATCTGAATGCAGAGTGATTTAGAGAAGTCCTCCACAGATGTAATTTATTTTTAAGAACATTTGTTAACAGCAAGTCTAATCATTTCAACATACACTTTTTCCAATTGAAAACAAAACTGTTTGACAAGCTGGTTGGAAATGTAAGAATGGAAATTCTACCTCCACCCTGGTCTAGGGATGGAGACTGAAAATAATATTGGAGGCTTCAAGTGCCCTATGACTTTGGGGCAGTAAGACACATTTTTGCTTACCGAAATAGACGGTGTTGGCAGAGCAGGTCGGTGGCAGAGCTGAAGTCAAGCACTGTTTTATAGAAATACTGGATTTTTTTCTTCATTTGCTTTAAAGAAGGAGTGTTACATTTTTTCTTAAAGGTCATGTCATTTAGGATCTTGTCTGTGAGGTAATGTAGCCAGAGCACATTATTATAAGGGTGATATTCATACCAGCAGTTGTTGTTCTCTTTCCTCATGAGCCTGTAGATCTCAAACTGGTAATCACCTTGACCTGTAAATAGGTCCTCATCTGTAGAAATGTCACAGAAAACCACAATCCCATCCCGCTCCAACCGTGACAGGGTGTAGTCAATGATGTTGACTTGCAGCCCACAGGTAGGGATTGTTCTTGTCTCCCCATTAAGGGTATAGTGGACCTTTGTGAGATTGGTTTTCTTTAGGAGCACATTTCCCCAGTGTAAGTCTCGGTGCTCAAAGCGCAGTGATGCCTCTGCCACTGCAAGGGATGCTGTGATCTGGTGTAGAATGCTCTTTGCAGTAGCTATGGAGGGCAAATTTGTTTTCATTTGCTCTAAGTCAACCCCACCAAACTCAAATTCCAATATAATGAAGAGTTGGTCTTCCTCAAAAAAGTCAGGCCGGTCATTTGCAGACCCTTTGGTTGAGTTATAGTGATCCCAAGCTTTGAGCAGCAAGGAAGGGTAAGAACCTTGAACACAATGCACTGAGTTCAGGCCAATAAAGCCTTCTGTACGGTTGGACACCTCACCAGACAAGAGGCTCAACTCTTTGGAGATGATAATCTCTGGTAAGATTTCCTCGAAGGTTTTCTGATGGCATCCATTCACTAAAGCTGCTCCTTCAATAGCAACGATTTTTAGAGCTACAGGTGTGTTATCAGCAATTGTTTGAAACACTTCACCAAAAACCCCTTCCCCAATCTTCTCACAATGTTCCAGTTTTTCCTTGGAAAGGCAGTAACTAAAGGGGACAGGGCCTTCTTGATTGCATTCCCCATAGACCTTTTCAGCATCAGATGCCTTTTTGTCTGCAACATGCAGACTCCTTGACGGGCTCAGCAAATATATAGAAGAAGAGCGCCAAGGATCCAGAGCACTATTTGTTCTGTTCGCGGCAGAAGGGCTTAAACTTTCTGATAGGAGGGACCCAGAGAGAGAACTGGCAATGGTATAGCTGCTGCACACCTCTGACAGATCAGTCACAACTTTCTTCTTGTGGAAGCTGAAGGCGGCCTTAGCTTTAACCCAAGAACAGGCCTTCTGGGGAGTCAGGTCCTGAGAGAGGAATGAATCTTTCCCCGTCTTTTGGCCCCTTTTAAACAGGTGGTAATGGCAGAGAGAGGTTTCCACTTCCTGGTGTTTCCTCTTCTGGCTTTGCCCAGTTCTTTTAGGCCTGTGGCTCTTCCCAGGTACAACTACGCCCTGGCAACCACTGGCCTCCGCACAGTCTTTCCGGGCGGCCCCTTGACATCCCAGCTTTTGAAAAGAGCCCTGGTCTGTGGTTCTCTTCTTACCTGTGCTTCTTAGATCTAAGCTCTCCAGCCTGTTTCTTGTCAGCTGCCTTTCACTACGGGACTCCTTCTCAGTCTTCCCATTTGTCCCAAACTCAGAATCCTCAAGGTTTCCTGAGTCCATGAGGCTAAAGAGTGCTGACCTGAGGCTGGCACTAGCTCGGCGGACCATCTCGTGGAACCCGCCTCCTCTTGATGTTTCCTGGGAGTGGGGCAGAGATGCCTGGCCCCGCGAGGTTGCCGGGACTGGGGAACGGCTCGTGTCAGTACAGGCTGCATCCGGGGAGGCGGAGGAGCTGATGGAGATGTTACCGTCTCCTGGCGCGGGCGGTCTGAGGTCGGTCGAGGATGGAGTGCTGAACAGGGACGCACTGGTGCCCAGCTCGTCGCCGTCCCTGGGCTGGCTGCACACGCCGAGGTCCGGGCTGAGGTGGTCTGGGTGGCTGCTGGGGAAAGGCGGCGGTCGGAGCGGGCCGCAAGGGGTGCTGCACTTCTGCGGCGGCCGAGGTCGCAGCCTCAGGTGTCTAGGGGTCGCGGTCAGCGTCAGCCGGTCCTTGAAGACTCTGCCGCCAGGACGCCTTCGCCGTAGGACGACGGAGCTGCCGGAGAAGTCAGGGTCGTCAGGATCGTCAGGATCGTCGGAAGCCACAGACTGGGAGCGGCCGCTGCTGGCATCGCTGCTGCTGCTGAACAAATGCTTCCGGTCCTGTGGCGGGAACCACTGAGCGGCTGTCCGGCCCGACCGCCGCCGCTGCGGTCTCCCGCCGCCAGCAGCCCCATAAGTCCGGAAGAGCCGATTCTCCGGTCGCCGCAGAGAGGCCGCCATGTCCCGGCGGCACCCGCCAAGCGGTTCAAATTCAAACACCGCGAGACTTCCACAAGCCGGCCTGCTCGCCGAGTCCCAGTTTAAGGTCTTGCGCATGCGCAGTACTCTGGGTCGTACGGAAGCCGACGGGGGCGGTTTTGTTTTCTCAGTGGGTTGTGGGAAATGGCTCTTGTTTCAGACCTCTACTGTGTGCACCCAGAGTGAGGAGCGTGCATGTGGGAGCGATCCGGTCCAGGTGAGCGTGGCCTCCGCCAGAGGCTGAGGAAGGGATTGAGGAGAGCCTGAAGCGGGTGACAGAGATCAGTTGGCTGCTTTTCTGAGGTTCCCCCGAAGCCCTTATCCTCAGTGGGTCGCGTTTGCCAATGTGAGGGCTTTGCTGGGGCCGGGGTGATTGCTCAGACTGCTCACACCCTCCACCCTGGGACCCTGAGGTACTTTGTGTCCTAAACGTGAAAAATGTCAGCCTTTCCACACGGAAGGAGATTAAGCTGGCTACTTTGATTTTCCAGCATGTGGAAGAGTGGCACTCGGTGAGCTGTGCCATCACTTCGGATAAAGAAAATGTCACCGTGGCCGCAGAGATCTCCGTGGGTCACTCTAAGCAGGTACTTGAGGCTGAAGTGCTCCCCCTACAAAGGATAACGGCATCTAAACTGCAGCACGTCCAAAACAGGTCTCTTGTTGCACCTTCTGCCCCAGTCTGCTCCGTAGCCAGTTCCTGGGGCTACCTTGAGTAGGTAATTTACTCCTATTGGGTACTAGGAATTCTAGAAATTACCCATTGCTATAGGGAAAAAAAACTCCCAACCTAAAAAATATCTGGGACGAGTTCCTGTTCTCTACAATCAAAGAGTGAATTCTAGGAACAACGGAGGTTAAGAGCAGAACATATTTATTGAGGAAAAGAAAGCTTCTGTCCGAGAGAGGGTCAAAAGGGTAGCCCGAGTGGGTTGTCCAGGAACCTGTCTTTTCTAGGGATTTTTATAGAGCAAATCCACCAGGTGAGGCAGGTCCAAGGTGGAAAACATGGGAACTCGCTAGGTGGGCATGGGGTGGGACAAAACTATGGTCAGCCAATAAGATTACAAGTGTAATTGTTCAGGTAAGATTGATTAAATTGGGATCAAATGGGGAAGCGAGTCACATAGCAAGCGGGTATGAATACAGAACAGGGGCTTTTCCTGTAGGGGGTTGGGCTAGTGACTCTTCCTGGCCTTTTCAAGGTGATTGCTACCTATTTAGAATATCAACCCCTGAGGTCCATCCATAGGGAAGTATGTTGGCGCGTCTGTTTAATCTTTTGTCCACAACTGGAGGTGTCTGTCACCCCGGCAGTTGCAAGGTATCTGGCTCTTTCCACGGCCTTGCTCTGTCTGACTACCTATAATATTTCTGTCTAACTCAGCTGCCTGTAACATTATGACTCCCCCCTTTTCTACATTCCATATTTATTCCAGCGACGGTCCTGCTGTTCTACCTCGGAATATATCCTAAATCCATTCACTTCTCTCCATCTCTACTGCTACTGTTGTAATTCAAGCCACCTGCTCTTGTTAGAGGTATTGCCCCTTCCACCCTTGGACCTACTTTCCTTGCGTCTGCTTTTCTCATACCTTCTACAAATAATTATTCACATAACAGCTATGCATCTTCCAAAAGCAAACATTAGATTGTGCTACTTCCATGCTTAAAAAAATAAACAGTGAGTTTGAACATACTTAGACTAAAATCCATACTTTTTTATATGGACTGCAAAGCTCTACATCATTTGGTCTCTGCTTGATTCTTCTACTTTGTCTCTTAGTACTCTTCTTTCTCTCCTGTCCCTTTCTTATGGCCCATCTATTCTGTTCTATTGCTGGACACAGGGCCTTTGTAATTGCTGTTTCTTTTCATAACATTGTTCTTCCCTTAAATTTTAATATGGATAGTTTCTTCTGTGTAGCTCAAATGCTATTTTCTTAGAGAAGCCTTTCCTGATCACTTACTATAAAGTGGGAACTAGTGATCGCATTTCACATCTTGCAGTCATTTGGATGAGATCATTGAGGTCTGAGGAAATAGCAGTGGGGTAGAGAAAAAAGGAGCATGGGCGAAAGGAAATGTTTTTTAAAGTATTGTCAACAACTGACTTTGGGTTGAGTTTGTGGCATGAGGTAGAGGGTAAGGGAAAAGCTGAGGAATACTGACAGGTTTCTCTGTTAAGGTAGCTGTGGGTGCTGAAGCCATTAATGAGGCTAAGGAAAATGAGAGAAGGAACATATTTAAAGGGACAGACAGTGAAGGCTGTCCAGAAGTGGTGAGCCCATGTCTAAAATATGTTTTGTTCCCCTCCCCCCCATCTTACAGTTACTAAGAGAAATAACTGAGCTACAGGTCCTTGGTGAAATATCTTTCAACAAAGATCTATATGAGGGACTGAATGCAGAGAACCACAGAACCAAGGTAACCCCTGACTGTTGTCTGGTTTGTGCTTAGCCTTTGAGCCCCTCCACAAACCCCCTGCTATTGCCATCTTCCTGTTCTCAATAATTTCTGACCCTGGCTCTGCCACTAACTGCCTTTGCAACCTTGAGTGCTTCAGCTTCTGCCTCAATTTTTCACCTGTGAAATAAGGCAGTTGAATAAAAGGCTAAGTTAACTTGGAATAATGAGGCTGGAATCAAGAGCACTGTATGCTTTGATTTGAAAAACATGTAGAAGGGCCTAGGGATTTAGCTCAGTGGCACAGCACCTGTCTGGCAAGCACAGTCGTGAGTTCGATTCCCGGTACTGGAAAAAAAAACAAACAAACAAAAAAAAAACAAAAAGAAAAACCTGTAGAAAATTCATATTGGAAATATTTCCTAAGTGAGAAATTATTTTTGTACCCGTTAAACATCTTCCTAGTATGTAATATCATTGTTTTCTTACACTATTAAATAGTTATAATACTAAAGAATGCATAATTTTTTTGTAAGACTTAGACTAAGTACTAGAACTCTTAAAATCTGTTTTGCTGAAGTAAGACCAAAGTCAAACTGACATCTTTGGTCTACAGGCTAAATGCTCGTGTGTGTATTACCCTGAATTTTCATTCTTGTTGACACTTGCCTGTTTATGCTGCTAGTTTCAGAGATGATCTGTGAGCACCTGAGTTAGGGATTATTCTTCACTAGAGGAAATGTCAGGGGGTGAGCCTGGATTGCTAAATGTTAAATCCTCAGTTTTTCTCCTTGGAGGAAGAAGAGAAAGGAGCAATTCTCTATACATGTCAAAATAACATTTTCTTTTATTCTGAAATATTTCTAATACAGAAAATGACACGAGAGAAATAGAAGTATCTCATTATTGCACTGCTTAGATTTTTTTTAAAAAGCTGTTTTTATATTTCTCACGTAATACTTTTATTTCTATATAGATGCCTCAAAATTCCTTTGAATTTAATATCCTAGGCAAAATATTCAATAGTTCCTGCTAATAAACATGTGACTGGAAACTAATCTGAGCTGAGTGTAATGGTGCATACCTACAGTCCAAGCACTGGAAAGGCTGAGATAGGAGTGTGAGCATAAGTTCCACGCCAGCCTGGGCAACATAGTGAGCTCATGACCAGCCTGGAATATGTAGCAAGACCCTGTCTCAAAACACAAAAACAGAAACACCCCAAAACAAACAACAACAAAAACAAAACCTAATCTATGAGTGTAAATATCTGTATATCCAAGTTCATGTCAGTCTCAAATAAAGACGACATCCATTCATTGTGCCATGAGAGCATGTGATGTTTATAGAGGGAGGGAAGCAGACTCTTGCCTCTTTTCTTTTTTTGAGACAAGATCTCACTATGTGGTTCAGGCTGGTCTGGAAGTCACTGTGTAGCCCAGGCTGGCCTCAAACTCATGGCAGTCCTCCTGCCTCAGCCTCCTGCATGCTGGAATTATAGACATATACTACCATGTTTTGTTTTTTAAATTTAAAAAGAAATTTTATTTATTTATTTTTGTTGTGGTCTGCCTCTTTTGATCCTTATGTTTTGGGTGATGGCTTCCCTCATGGGCAGCACAGAGTTACTGTCTCTCAAATGCTACACAGGTTGAGTTACCCTTATTCAAAATGCTTGGAACCAGATCTGTTTTAGATTTCACAATTTGGGATTTTGGAATGTTTGTAGACTTGCCAGTTGAACATCCCTAATCTGAAAATCTGAAATCTAATTCAGAGCATGTTGGATTTGGATTTCTGAAGTAGGAATGCTTAATTTGTATTTTCACATGAAAAGAGACAATGGGAAACAAGAGGTCAGCAAAAGGATTTTCTTGGTGGGCATGGTGGTGCAACCCTGTAATCTCAGCACTCGGGAGGCTGAGGCAGGAGAATCGTTGCGAATTCGAGACCAGCCTGTGCTACAAAGTGAGCTGAAGGTCAGCCTGAACTGCATTAGTGAGACTCAAAAAGACCAAAAAAAAAAAGGATTTTCTTCGTGTGCATTTGGTATTTAGAGAGGAAACTATTCCTAAAAGCTCCCAGGAGACATCCCTTTATATCTTATTAGTAAGAGTCCTGTTTCAATCACTAGCAAAGGAGAACTGTTGTGTCATGATAATCTTAGACCAGAGAGAATTAGCTTAGACCAAAGGAGGACGTAGCTAGTCGGGGTCCCCATTACTGTTTGCCACAAGCAGTATAACATCTGTTTGTTTGCCAGGGAAACTTTGGCTCACTTTTGGGAACCTGTGCATTTTGAAGAGGAAAAAGGGAGAAGGCATTGAAGAAAAGATTCAATGCCTCTACTCATGTGGCCTATTTCACTGCCACCTTGGGACCTCCTTTCATCAGTCTTGTCTTCCTCCTGCCGCTTGTCGCTTTTCTGTAGAAGAGAAAGCCAGCTCTCTTCTAGTATTCTTTCCACGCTGATGCTTTGATGCCTCCCCATTCTCAAGAACTCACTCTTGGGGCTGGGGATTTAGCTCAGTGGCACAGTGCCTGCCTGGCAAGCACGAGGTCGTGAGTTCGATTCCCAGTACTGGAAAAAAACCAAAACAAAAAACAAAAAAAACGTCCTCGCTCTTGAGATCAGTTACCTGTGAGTTAGATAGGGTCTGGAGGATCAACCAGCATTTATAACATAATTAAAAGAGGCCTTGGGCTGGGAATATAGTTCCGTGGTACAGCGCCTGCCTGATAAGCACAAGGTCCTGAGTTCGATTCCTGGTACCAGAGAAAAAAGAGGCCTCAAGGGTGAATTGTGTATCTCTGCAGCCTATAGAGAAATTTCTCCAAAGCATCTTAATCTTGGTACTTAAACATATGCATGAAAAGAACTCAGTGCCTTGGGCAGACAGAGTAGTTTGTTTAGCTTTGTGTGTGTGTGTGTGTATATGTATGTATGTTTTAATTTGGGTTTTTTTTGTGTTTCTCTTTGTGTGTGTATGTTTTGTATATTCTGGAAATAATGTCATGTTAGCCATACAAACTTTTTCCTCTTCAAAAATTTTTTAATGATTTCAAGTCTTTTGGATTTTCATATCAATTTTAGAAAAGCCTGTCAATTTAAAAGAACTGGAGTTAGAATTAGATTACTAGGTCAAATTTTGGAAAATTGTTATCTTCAAGTGTTTCACCTTAAAATGTTTCTTGAAATCTGCAGTTTCTCTGCAATGTTTTCTAGTTTTCTGTGTATAGGTCTTGTCAATTTTGTGGTGAGATTTATCACTAATTCATAGTTTAATGCTCTTGTAAATCATGTGTTTCTTTTTTGTTTGCCACCATGAAGTGGAAGTACAGTTGCTTTTCAATAAACTTTATTTTAATTAAAAAAAAAAAAAAGAAAAAAACAGGGTCCAGGCTGGCCTTGAACTCACCAAGTAGTCCAGGCTAGCTTTGAACTCCTGGTGATCCTCCAGGCAGAGCAGTCTTGATGGCCCTTTGACCCTACCTAAGGCATGACAACATGCTCTGGCCACAACCTGGGAGAGCCAAGTTTCAACGGAAAAGCACTCTGCTGAGCTTTCTAGTTGAGCCCTGGCAGTGAGAGGAGATCAGTCTCATGAAATTGAGAAAATCTTTGGAAACAAAATTTGAGGATGACTTTTAATAGAAGAACTCCACAAGTACTACACATAATTTTTATTTCATTTTTGTATCTCGGTACCTTTGTTATATATTTCTTGTGGTGAATATATATTACCAAAGACTAGTGTTTTGTGCAAGATCTAAAAAAGCTGTTAGAACAGAGCGAGAAAAGACTTTGGTAAAGTAAATCATCACTTTTAAGATAATGAGTGTAAGGCTCAGGGAAGTGTAGGTGCATAGCTGGACGTAGACTCTTGATTTTCTGTCTCTAGTGTCGTAGGATCTTCTTTCCGATTGTGGGAGCATCTTTGATACAAGGTCACACTCTTGACAGACCTAGCTCTTCTAGATAAGAGGCCAGAATGATTTCTTATAAAGGATTTTGGTCATTGGATGATTTTAGATTATCTAAAATGCTATATCAGGGGATGCTGAGCTTTTAGCTTTACGGTCATTGGTCTTGATCAATACATGGGATGTTGCCAAGTCTTCATATTTTGCTCTTTAAAATAACATGTGGAAATTTTTCGTCCTTTGCTTTATGTGATTGATTGGATGATCTTTTTGTCTTGTCTAGATCACAGTCATTTTCCTGAAAGATGAAGTATACCATTCTTTGCCTCTCATCATTGGAAGCAGTGTGGGTGGCCTTCTGGTTCTGATTGTGATTATAATCATCCTGTTCAAGGTCAGTTCTACTCATTGTGTTTGTTTGGTTTTTTTTTTGGTACCAGGAATCGAAGTCAGGACCTTGTACTTGCCAGGCAGGTGCTTGTGCTGCTGAGCTATATCGCCGGCCCTACTCATTATGTTTGTAAGGGCAAGAGAGGACTGGGCTCAGAACAGCCAACCCCCAACTTAGAGTGTTTGCCCTGGCCTTGTGGCCTCTTCTCCCTCTTGCTTCAACTGTACACCCCACTTAGGTAAATGACTAACTTAGTTCTCTATCTGAAAAAACAAAAATCCAAAAATCCAACTGAAGTGTGTTAGTACAGAGATCTTCTTCAAACAGATTGATGGTGTTTCCTTTTTTAAATCCTTTTCTTGTCTTCCCCTCTCTCAAAAGGTCCTCGACTTGCTGGTCTCTACCCTTCTCCTCTCCATCCCTAAGTTTTACTCTTCAGACAAATTGAATGGTTGCCTAAGTAGGTTCAGCCTTTCTGCATATGCACAGACTACTTCCTTTTGCCAAGAGTGCCTCTCTCCACTTTTTCACCTCAATGTAGAGGCTCCTGGATCCTCTGGGTTGGTTTATGTACTTGTCCTGTGAGTTCCTTTCTGGAAACCTTTCCGAGTGGCAGTGGCTATATTATAATCACTCCCCTTCCCACTAGATTCTGAGCTTCTTGATACAGGAGGGTGTCCTCGATCTCTTTCTATGCTCAGTGTGTAGGCAGTGCTGAGTATTCCTACATAAATAAGATTATTCCCACTTTAGTCTGAACTATACTATTTTGCAGAATTAGGTTAAAAATGTTCAAGTCCTCTGGGAGTTCAGAGGAAGCTGGGAAGTTAGTTCTGATTGAGGAATAACCACCTAAAAGACATCACTGAAGAGGGATCTGGAAGGATTGACTTTCAGGGAAAGACTCAGGAGGGGCGGGGAAGGGAGGAGAAATATGAGAAACAGAGGAGTCTACAGGCTATTTATGCAACAATCAGAATGATGGTTTTTTTAAAACAGATGGCTCTTCTGACTCTTTAATTGGGCTTCCCCTCCCTTTGTTTCAGTGTGGCTTTTTTAAAAGAAAATATCAACAGCGCAACTTGGAGAGCATGAGGAGGGCCCAGCTGAAAGCAGACGATTTGTTCACAGAAGAAAATTAGGATCTGCATCTTCATCCATTAGGATCCTTAAACTTCTAGAAGCTTGGTGTTGTCCTGGTTACTTTTTCCTTAGGATGATCGAAAGCAGTGTTGAATAAATTATAGAATATTGTTTTTTAATCCTAGGTTGTCCTAAAAGTATCTGTATATTGTCAAAAAAGGAAACTTGGAAAACATTTGATATTAAAGTAAATGGTTTTCTTTACAATTGTGCCTTAAATATGCAAATATTCTTTTGCAGTAAATTTTGATGTCTGATAGGCCAAATTTTCATTCTTATATTTTTAAAAATTGGTTGTATTCTTTCAGACATATTTTAGTGTCAGTTTTCCAGAGTTCCACAAGAAACTGTTTGTGGTTTAAGTGTATGGGTTAAATTGGGAAAAGTTGGTATCTTTACAATATTTTCTCACTCAGAAATGCATTTCTCTATTTGATGAGTTTAAAAAAAAAAGACACTCTGCTACAAAATTTATCATGTTCTTCAGAGAGGTCTTAATTCATGAAGACCATTACTTTCACAGGTCTTAATTTATGACCTTTCTTTTTCTCTGTCTATAATAAAGAGATTGATAAATTAAGACCTTTCTGGAGAACATGATAAAACCTTATAGCAGATTTTTTTTTTATATACATTCTTGAACCCCAGGCCTTGTGCATATTAGGATGCACTTCCAGCCCTATTTGCTTCTTTATTAATGGAAGTCTGATAACTACCCTACTTTCAAAATAGTATGAGTTAAAATGTATTCAGTGATATTTGCAATAGCTCTGACATGATGGGAAAATTAATTTCGATTCATATCCAGATTATAGGTATGAAGGTTTGTTACCTACATTTGTGATTGAATAAAATACAGTTATTCATTTGTAGAGGTTTCAGTCCATAGTCAGCTGGCTCTGAGGAGGGAGGTTGGCATGGCAGAGGGGGCTCACAGAGGAGAAGTAGTTTATGACAGCAGGCAGGAGGCAGCAAAGCAATAAGCTTCCCTTTCCCTTTTATTCCATCCAGGCTACAAGCCTTTTGGGTAGTCCCACCCACACCCAGGAGGAGCTTTTGATTATCCACACTCAGAACTATGCTAAAGCAATCAGTGGGCTAATTTAGTACCACACATCCTTAATTCTGTTATCACACACCCTAGATGCAGCCAGCTCCGGAAAACCCCACCTATGAGCTCTTGAGGCTTTGGGGGGACATCTAGATACAAGCTGTAACAATAGTAAAAGATTCGTGAATTTTTCCCTATCTAGTCCTACAGACCTCCTATTCTATATGCTCTGACCCCTTTTAAGAAAGCATATGTCTTGGATGGGTTTTGTACTTTTGCCAGCACTCCGGGTGCTGATGCTGTTCTATGGCAGAAGAAACAACTTGCCCTAGGCCACAGGATAGAGCCATTATTCCTATAGAAGATTTTTGGATCCCAAGTCTAATGCCTACAGAAAAGCTTTGTTACAGTCTGGGCAAGACCTTTGTGACAGCTCTGGACTACAGTGATGGTTCAGCTTGCATGGGCAGAAGAATGGCTTGTGTAGCTCAATTGTTCAGGCCCCTCTTCCCCATCCTGAAAGGGTCTGATGCACCAGCTTGACCTGGGCCTGGGAATCTGCTTTTTGGCACTCCAGGTGGTTTTGATGTACAGGTAACATTCTGTGAGATACTGCTTGCGACATCAGGGTTTGTGCATCTTGTTGCACTTTGTTAGTGGTATCTCTTACACAGATTTGGCATCTTCATGGCTAAGTTACTTCAGCCCTATGTGCTTCTTTATTAATGGAAATCTGATAACTACCCTATTTTCAAAATTGCAGCAAGAGAGAAAGCAATAAACTATTATGTTGTGCATATCCTGCCCTATAGGAATGTAGAGAAGACGAAAAGATGCGTGTGAGCCAAGACATGAAGTGTGATGGTCTGAGATCAACCTGGGCAGTGGCATTTAGGTTGGGAAATGAAGAATGGGGTAAAGCACCTATGTCCATTTGACTGAGGCCAAGTGGGCATTATGGGGAATATTAAACTGACAAAAAAGGTGGGAACAGTGTATTGTGTAAGAGTCTGCCTGGAAATTGTGTAAGGGAGCTCTGGGAGCTACAGACACCGTGATACTTACATGAGGATTTCTTGCCCATGCTGGTCCTCTGAATGGAGCAAGAGGTAGACCTGAGAAACGGTAAGTCATGGAGGGACACCCTGCATGGAACAGGACGAAGAACAGGAAGAATTTTGCTGAGATGAGTCAAGCTGTCATTGCCTTGTGGGTTTGGTTGACTCCAGTTTGGATTTGTCTTCTTTTTGGTGGCCAGTGAACTAACATTCAACCCTACTGTTCTTGGGGTATTACTGTTCTTAATACCTTGGTGATTTTTCCTCAGATTTGATACTGGGAGCTAAGTAATAAACACTAAGCCATCAGTTAAGATGGGTTATGGAGGCAGCGGAAATCTTTCCCCAGAGAGGAGCTTTCTTTGTCCTGTTGACTGTATTTAAACAACATTAATAATGTATCTGCTAGTTTTTATGTGGATCAGAAATATCTATTAATGGAATATGTTTGTCATAGCAGGACTGCTCAGAGCAAAAGGTAAATTAGAGGACAAATTGCCTTCCATGCCATTCCTTTTGCATACCTGTCTGGGGCATCCAGGACAAATCATCTTTTTTTTTTTTTTTATGGTAGTGGGGGTTGAACCTAAGGCCTTTGCACTGAACTAATCCTCATCACCTGCTCCCCTTTTATGATCGATGGATTGTGTCTTTTTGAGATAGGGTTTCACTATGCAGTTCAGGCTGACCTTCAGCTCACTATTGTAGCCCAGGCTGGCTTCACTACCATGCCCTATGTTTCATTTTAAGACAGGATCTTGCTAAATTGCCCAGGCTGGGCTCAAAGTTGTGATCCTCCTGCCTCAGCCTTGCAGAATGCTAGGGTTAAAGGCATATGCGAGTTGGGTGTGGTGGTGCACACCTGTAATCCCAGCAATCCTTATAATTGGTAGCATCCATAGAAGGAAGAGAGGAGGGCAAGGAGAAAAGCTGGCATCTGAGACAGAGGGTCTGTTCCCTCTGCAGGTAGATGTCCCAGCCCATGACCGTGGAGCCAGGGAAGGCTCTGTCTGAGGATCCATCATAGTTTTTACTGCAGACATTCCCTGGACTCAGAGCAGAGCAAGATGATCCCAGGAGTGTCCAAGCCACACAAAACAATAGACTTAAAATGTGGCAAGTCTTAGGACCAAGTGAGATGATATTAAAAATGAAAGTGCCCTTCAGAAATCTGTCCTATAAACCCCCATCACTTCACTGCATGTACCTAAATCATCCAGCCAGGTGAAGGCTGGTGAGCCAGGTGAGAAGGGTTCCCTGTCTGCCAATCCCATCCCTCACTTGAGTGTGCAGCACTGACTGCATGAGGTACGGGAGGAGAGGGACAGAGGGTGGCGAGGCAGAGCGGGTGCTCTGATCACTCTGAAAACTAGCCGTAGACCCTGACTCCAGCTGCAGCAGTGAAGCTGGAAGCAGTGCATTCGGTTCTTGGCATGCCAGGGTGGTGCTCTGGCCCTGCAGCAGTGGGAGCCACTGTAAAAGGTGCCCATTTCTTGACTGATCCCCCCACCCTGAAAGCACTGGTAGAGTCCATTTCCTCTCAAGAGCACTACACAACAGGACAGGAAGAGGTGTCCATGGAACCCTGGCCCTGGCGGTGGCCTCCCTCCTCAGCAGCAGGGCAGATGTACGCACTCCACACTAAAGGTCCCTACAAGAAGCCATGGTCCCTATGGGACAGAGCCTGGGGACCCCAGTGGAAAGCTAGGGGACTCCTGGAACTCATTTCCTCTATATGAAGTGGGCTTTGCATTGATTTCACTAGCCAATTCACAGTGACTCAGGTGAGGCCCTGTGGAAACTAAAGCACTGGTGGCAGTGGAGACCATATCTTGGGCTGTGGAACCAGATCACCTGGGTTTATTCTGGCCCAGCTGTTGGCTATTAGCATGATAATGGATGCATCGAACCTTGTGGTACTAACCACGTAGGGTGGAGCTGTGGTTTGCGGGCAGTGAGTGTGAGAGGTATTTGTTATGGTAATGGTGACAAAGATCATTCTAACTGACCACCAGGGGGCTCTAAGACTTGAAGAGCATGTGTTTTACATTCACAAGGCCCTAGGTTCCAGCCCCAGTGCCAAAAAAGAAAAAGAAAGTTAATTTTCTCTGAAGGGGAGAATTCATCTTGGTTTTGGAAATGTCTCCAACTCAGAGTTTTACTAATACAAATGCAAGAAACAGAACATTCCTTCCTCTCTTTTCCCCTTGGGCACAATTGGTGTTAAGCGTGAACTGTGAGGGGGTGGGAGGAGTAGCCCCAGTCGGGTGGAAAAAGAATGGAAATAGTCTGGGGGCACTGCTAGTACCTCTTTTTCACACTACTTTGCCTGTGACCCACAGGAAGAAACCCACATAATAGAGACGTGCAGGCATACACTTGAAATGATAGCTTCTGAAACAACACTCACTCTAAATTTTTAAATATTCTGATACTTCTTTCTCCTTTTTTTTTTTTGGTCTTTTTGAGACAGAGTTTCACTGTGCAGTTCAGGCTGGCCTTGAACTTACCTTGTAGCCCATGCTGGCCTCAAACTTGCAGGATCCTCCTACCTTAACCTCCTGAGCGGTGGGATTAGAAGCATGCACCATCACACCTGGCTTTTTTTTTTTTTTTAAATACAGTGTCTTCCTTACTTTTCCAGTTGCTGAGACAAAATACTTCACACCCAAGGTTAAAGGAGAAAATTTAGGTCACAGTTTGTAGAGATTTCAGACTATGATCCGCTGGCTGTAAGGCAGGGTAGTGTGGCGGACAGACATCAAAGAGGAGAAACAGTGCAAAAACAGGCAGAATGTAGCAAAACAAGCAAGGGAATTAGCAGCTTCTTTCTACCCCTTTTATACTCTATTTAGGCTACCAGGGGGTGATGGAGACCATTACGAAGTGGCTGTGAGCAGGATTTAATACTAACTAATTGGCTTTCCATGTTTACTTGTGAGTTGTCCAAAGCCTAGGCACCTTGTCTGGAGATGGGCAGCGGATTCATAGTAAGTGAACCTCTATGAGTCTCTCGTCACCGCTGAGGCCTGTATTGGCCTGTGAAGCTGTGGTGGATGCCTCAAAGGACAAGATAAGGCCACAGCTGAGGACGTTTGGCTCTAACCCCAATTAGCTAAAAGGAGACTGTAGCTGTAGGCTCCACACTCCTACAATAAATGTCGACCTAAAGATAATGTAGTTCTCCTGATTGACATAATTTACTACTTGGGAATATATCGCCCAAGGCCCTGCTAGATTCCTCTCAGATTCCCGTGTTTTCTTTAGTATTCCCCTCTTTTGTTCGAAAACCAAATAAATACAGGCTACCCAGAGAAGTTCTTTGTCTTAACCCAGAGAATTGCGAATTCTGTTAGAGGGTTTGGAAACCCCTGGAGCCCTGAAATCATTTCATTTGTCTCATTTATTTAAGCCTTGGACATCTACTCATTTGGGAGATTGTAGGCCTGATCAGTCTGCAATAAAAGGGATATTATTAACCGGATACAGGGGGAATAGGGCGGTGCCAAGCCAATCAGTGGACTGATTTAGTAATCACACACGCTTAATCCCAGCATCGCATACTGTAGATTCAGCCACCTCTGAAAATGCCCCACCTATGGCCACCTGAGGCTTTGGGGGGACATCTAGATACCGGCCATAACACGGGCAGAATTAAGTGGGAGAGAGAAAAGGGTAAAGAAAAGGAGGAGGAAGGAAAGATGGTGAGCAGAGAGAGAAGACTATGTTTCTTTCTTTTTGTCTTGGTGAATATACTTAT